TCCCCTCGGATGAACCAGCCCGAATGGTTCCCTTTGGGGTCAGTGAGGAGAAGGTCGTGATCTGAAACCTGGTCGGCCTGCTCAGGGGGACCCAGGATGTTGATGTTGCCTACAAAAAGTTTGCCCCGCCAATCCAGTTCGGCTGGCAATTTCTTCTTTCCCTCAGCAAAAGTCAACTGTTCCACGAACTCTTTGACGCTCACCACTGCCCGAATCTTCGCTCGCTCTTCTGGAGTACGATGTCTGTTGACCCAGATTTCCATGCACTCCTGCCCTGGGACACTGCTCAAGTACTTCTTCTTCTTCAGAGCCTCGAGGACTTCTGTCTGGAAAGCCCTCTGTTGTGGAACAGTTTTATGAGTCTCAGGGAAGCGTAGGGACACCCGGACATGCGAGGTTCTTGTGTAGGGGCTCCAGATATCCGCCCAAGCATGGTCCATCTTGGCAGCTTCGAACATCGCCTTCGCTTCTTCAATGGCATCATCACGTTTGCAGTCAGCCCACCCACCGATTGCCAACTGCAACTCCTCGTCAATGTTGCGTTCACGTTGGGGGGTCGTGCTCCCGGGGCGTGGCGAGCGCGGGGTGAGTGGGCCTCTCGTGGGCGTTGGCGATCGGGAAGCACTGTTACGCAAGTCTCTGACCTCTCTCTCGAGAGCGGCGATCCTAAGGCTATGGGCATCAGTCTTTTCTGTATGTTCCTTTAGCACCGCATCGTGCCCATCTAGGCGGACCGCATGTTCCTTGAACTCACTGGAAATGTGTACGAGCTCCCTGTGCATGTCAACATTTCGAACGTTAATCTCAGAGACATCTGTCCTGAGGGGCTCCAAATGTGCAAGAATGCGCCCCTCCAGGGCTCCAACCCAGGGGGGTGTGTCATGCTCGAAAGTAGAACGGTCGGGTCGGCGGTGTCTATTAGAGGGCACAGAGGCCTCCCGGAGTTCGTCGTCCCCCGGGTCATTCTTGTTCACTTCCATTTCCAGGTCGTAATATTCCGGATTACGACGAGGTTTCGGTACCCCTCCAAACTCTGGAGCTTCGATCCTGGCAACTTTCGGGGGGGGGGGGTTTCCTCGCTGCATCACTGCCGGAGCTCTCTCTCTCTCCATCCCTGTCTCTCTCTCTATCAGCCTTCCGCATCAGCAGCGATTCCAAGACTCCCGTATGATGCGAGTGCACAAGCGGAACCTTATCCACGTCCATGGTCACAGTCGCAGGTCCTGAGATGTGTTCCAGTGAGTCCTGCGAATCCGCAGCTCTCTCCTTCGGAGAGTGACGGCGTCGAGGGGGAAGGGGGACTGGGACATTCGGTTCGGGGACAGGAATGTTCGGTTCGGGAGCGTCGAGGGGAATGTCGCCTACACCACCTCGGTTCTCGTCTTCACTGAGGATATGATCCACGTCAATGCTGTCAGTCTGCGTGACGTGCGGCACAGGTGTTTCTACCCCTAAACCCTCCGTGGTCGCTAAGCCCATACCAAATGGGACGGTAGTCGCCTGAGAGGCGGAAACGATTGCCCCGTGACCTGAGATCATCCTGTTTCTTCCCTCGAAAACAACGAGGAAACGTTCACCCCAGAGGGTAGGAGTCAGAAAAACAAACCAAGGACTGCGACAGAGAAAGGGCACTCAAACCGGTCTCGGGCCGAAATCTTGAGCCATTTGGGGGGGAGGGGGTGGGGCTGCGGTGCGCGTGCCCATATATAACGCAATCGCAGAGAGATAAGCAAGGAGTAAGATAGGGAGAGAGAGAATCAGAGAAAGATAGAAAGAAAATCAAATAGAGAAATCTGGAGAGCGAAGAGATAGAGAGAGAGAGAGAGATAGATAGATAGAAAGATACGGAGACAGAAGGAGAGAGAGAGAGAGAGATAGAGAGAAGAATAGATAGAGATATATATATATATATAGAGAGAGAGATGGATAAATAGAGAGATACATAGAGAGAGAGAAATAGATAGAGAAAGCGAATTAGAGAGAGAGAGAGATAGAGAAAGATATAATCAAAGAGAAAAACAGAGAGATGGTACGCTACGGATTTCCCTATGAATTGGGTAATCGGGACCAATTTTCTATTGTTTTCCCTTTGAATTGGGGAGTTGGTCCCATGTTTATGAAATTCCTTGAGAATTTCATGGAAATAGTAGGTCATTTTTATGAATTTCGCAGAGAATTTTATAGACGTAACTTATATGAAATTTCTAGAGAATTTCATCAATAAAATATGAAATTCTCGGTAAATTTCATAGAAATACCCCCAAGGCCTCGTATGAAAACAAAGGAAAGAACAATCTATGGTAATTTCATAGAAATGTAGGGTCGACCACGCGTACAAACGTGCTGACACGGATTCGCGGTTGGAATGAATTCATACAATCATAAAATTTCTATAATTTAAGAAAGATCAAAGAAATAAAATAGAGTTGAATCTAGATTTGACTCATATATATATATATATATATGTGGTACCCCCCCCTCCAAGATCCAGTTTTTTTGGCTCTGTCTGGAGCTCTTCGTATGCAATCCCTGCCTATTTGTTCTTCATATCGTTTATATATCTGTCTTCTCACGTGAAAATCCCAGCATTTAGCAGACACGCACACGCACACACAGACACAAGAACCGCTAAATTTTTACAGATTTATGGACTGGATTGGAATTAGATTCAAGGATTGAATTTCAATCCGCGCCCGGATCTAAGATCCAAGATTCCCCCAGGACTCTATGGGCGGAATCTTGGATCTTGGATCCGGCTTCGGATTGAAATTCAATCCTTCAATCTAATTTCAATCCGAATCCAAGATTCTGCCCAAAGACTCCCGGGAGAATCTTGGATCGCGGATCCGACTTCGGATTGACATTCAATCCTTCAATCCAGTTTCAATCCTGCGTCGTTTGCTGCATGCCAGTATGTATGATTGCACTACGAGCCGATCCGCAGCGCCGGATTTTTAAGCCTACGTATACAATACCTCATATTTAATCAATATATTATCCTCAGAATATATTTCCATTCTCGTATCCTGTATATCTTATAGAAATCCATCTGGAATATCCTATCGACTATCTTATTCAAGACCACCTATATATGATATCCCCTGCACACCGCATATTACATATACTCTCTCTACAAGACACTATATAGAATATCTCATAGGATCCTTTGGAATACCTCCTCTATGAATAAATATCTGAAAAACTTTCATATGGATCATATTGATATAAACTTTCCTCCTACCTTATTGAATATCCTAGAGCTTCTATACTATAGGCTACCTTATCATATACTTTCAGTCATAGCCCATATACCTATAGAATATCTAGAATATATTATAGAATAGGAGATAGAATTCCGTACAAAATACCTTATAGAATTAATGATACTCTCAATATATCGTGCGCTTCATAGAAGATCATCTGGAATATTCTATAGAAGACCCTATAGAATGCCCCTATGGCCCTATCTATATATGACAATATTTATATAATATATAAATATAAATATATATATATATGTATATATTTATCCTGAATCCATATAATCCTTAGTGGGTCAAAATCAATTTTTTCAATTTTGGCCCCTTATAAGGAAGTCTTATTGCGAGAATTTACATTTTTCACTCCCCCATAGATACTTGAAAAGTAAGAATACCTATAGATAACCTTTCAAATAAAGGATATATAGGAAGACAATCAGGACGAATCCAAGATCTGAGATCTCAGAATCCCTCAAAAAGAAGCAATCTATTTGATAAGGGATTTCTAGGAGTGATCCAGGAATCGAGAAGAAAATTCTAGGGAATACCTCAAACCTCAAAGATTTTCGTCCAAGAGACCCTATTCATTACGCTCTAGAGTACGTTCTATAAGATAATTTTTATCTTTATAATGATGAATTGAATAATTCCTTATATAACATATTATATAATATCGCATAGAGCGTCCAAATCATACGTTGCATACTATGCCCTTCATAAGCCTTATAGAATATCTATCATTTGTAATCTCCTATAGAGTAGCTTCCAGAATATCCAATATCTATCCGTCCCTTTGAATATCGCATATAGGAAGTCCTAAAGAAACCCTATAGAATATTCTATAAAATATCCGTAAGATGCACTATAGAATACCTTATAGAATACTTTATAGATAACGGATTAATGAGGGGAAAATCAAGAGAAGAATACTCTATATTATATATGCGCAATAGAGAATACCTTATACGATATTCCTTCTTTATATCTTAAAGAATTTCATATAGATAATCCGAGACTATCCAAATACGATATATCTTTTACCAACCTTGCTGAATACCCTATGCTTGAGAATTCGCACATACTATATCTATATATATATATATATATATATATATATATATATAATTATAAGTGAAAAAATAACCGAAGGCTTTCAGGCAATGCTATAGAATAGAAGGGCTCCTTCGGATTATTTGAATCCTATTTGAAGGAGTTCTTTACGAATAATACCAAAAAGCGCGGATCTTTAGAGAGGGAGAAAGATATATATATATATATATATATATATCATTCAACCATTCAGTCATTCTATAAATTCCAATCAAAAATTTTCTCTTACTCTCTCTCTCTCTCTCTCTATATATATATATATATCTGACTACCATCCAGTCTTCGCCTACTTTCCGTTCTTTCGTTGAGGATTTCATCTTTCGGAAATCCAATTAATTGTCAATTCCCAATGGATGGTTAATCCAAGAGCAGGCAGCAAAATTTCTGGCCGGCCTTGCGACTAGAGGCGACATTTTTTTTCCACGGCGCTGCGCAGAAATTGCGACAGTGGCCTCCATTGGCGGATTTGAATATCTGGGACCTTTTGGCCCGGGCTCAAACGACCCGCTCCAGAAACTACCCGACCGATTTCGTCAGGGTCAACGACAGCCTTGTTTGGGCTGACAGACTGACCATAGCAATCAGACAATTTTAGTCTGAGTGCAATTGTGACGAGTGGGAAAAAAGAGTTCATGTTTGCAGCGAATTATGCGAGAGGGCAACGCCAGCCTCGGGATCTTGCAAGATAACTAGGCCAGTAGTATCCAGCACTATCTGGAGCATCCATCGGGAGCTAGTTCATTGACCCTGAAATGTGGGCTTGTTTCTTGGATGTCTACCGAGCATGTGGTACAGATCTGCAAGCAGCAGACTCATGTCAACTTTCCTGGCGAATGCTGCGGACCCCCGTTTAAGTGTGGAAATCTCTGGCCTCTGAGAGGTCCACCTGGGAAGCGAGGAGTGGCGGCAGCATCCTCTCGAAGCCAAGCATGAAGAAACCGTCCATGCTGAAGCGTCCCAAGGAACTTAAAGCGCAGGCACCTTGATGTACCGCAGACGAGATTCAGCCGCATACGAATATCTTCAACCTGCAGGGCCAGGCCCCACTTTGTATAACTGGAGCATCTGGAACCTTGCTCTCCGTTTGTTTGCGCAAACGTCTCACCCGCTGCGAGAAGTGGGATGGATACTGATATCTATCCACCAGGCCTTGGCATTGAGGCTTTCCATGTACTTCCGAGAGGCATCAGCTTGTTGCTGTAGTTCAGCACAATCCTGGTACACGGTTCCGATTGCAGGATTTTGTCAATAAGCAATAAGCAGTTCAAGCTCTTTTGCTGATGCCTTCTCGAGCTTGCAGGGCTCGTCTTCCTGATCTTCGTCTGTTGGTATGAACCTCGTGCTGCATGTTCGGCAGCAGTGCTTTTGTTTCGCGTGGCCCGCATGCATGCTAGCTGCAAGCCTGCCGATGCACTCCTGCATTTTCCATGCCGAGGAACCCAAAGCACCTGGTGTGCTTGTCCTTTCCATCCGTTTCACAGAAGAGCAGCAGCTGGAAAATTTGTGGAACGAGAAGCACGCAGACCAAGCCGGCCTTCAGTCGGGCACCGGCGAATCAAATTGCATCCTACGTGCCCACATGCATGCAACCAACTGCCCACCAAGGAGCTACGTTTGCTGCCTTTGCACAGGCGAGCTAGGCCGAACACACCTACAACTTATGTTGCCATGAAACAACGCCTTTCAGCACGACAACGGCTCATTCAAGTTTTGTCGTAGCTCAAATGCTCGATACGACGTAGGCTAGTGATGTGGCCCTGTACAGCCTGGCAACTTCCGGATCTGCTCTTGTCAGCAGGTAAACTCCTCGAATCCGAGGGACGATAAACAGCGGCCTCTCCATCGCAAGATCCCACATATCCCTGCCAGTAATGGCGCGAAATTGTTCGCTGCAGTAGCCGCCCACTTCTGGATTGCAGGTCTGGTTCCTTAGATACAGTGAGAACTCTAAGCACAATTGGTTCCAATCCCTTCTAAAAACCTGCTCAAGTCTCATGCTCCGCCTGAAGCGCACGAACTTCATGCCATGAACCCCTGATGCGCTCATAACTGGAGTCTGCAGTCAGACAAGCTGCAGCAAGCCGTTTGGATGAGCATACCTTGCTTCAGGGCTCATTGTAAAATGAACTTGAACATTCAAACATGTCTGTGCTCCTCATCCAAGGGGCAAGCTCATGAGTCCTCAGCGGGGGTTGCTGCACGTCAAAGCTACGAGAAACTTGTAAGGAAGAAGCACTGAGCACTAGACACACGGGATCACAACACCTCTTGCCACTGGTGACGAGGCTCGCAGGATTCTGCGAGTCATCATGCCAAGAAAGCTGTCCTCTTCAGTTAAATTCCAAATCGTGCACATGTCTCCTCGGCTTTCCCATCGCGAATCTGCTGAACAAACGGTCATGACATGCGGAAGTTGCCGACGAGCATTCTGTACGAAAGGCCTCCCTCGGGCCAGTTGCCAAGAATGTCGACAAGTGCTGTCTCGTTAGATGACTCCTCCGAGACCATTCCGCAGTTCTATAACCTTTACAGACAATCCAGCATCAGGAACAAAAACAACATAAACCTCCAATGGTGTCACTGCTTCCACACCATACCATCGAATCTCATTTGAGAGATAAGGATCGTGCCACCGGAAGCGTGTCTGTCTTCAAAGAGTACATCATGACCTCATGCTTGTGCAACGGCCCGTCTGAGCAGACATCAGGGTGGTGCAGCAGTCTGGCTCTGGCGAGATCTGACTGAACAAGTCATGGGAGCTTGCGCCTGTAAGCCTCGATGTAAGGCCAAAGAGGCAGCATGCTGCTTTCGAGGCTGCGACCAGCATTTGTCGGACATACGCGAACATGAAGATAGCACACCTTGGCCAACTGTTCCCTCGATCAGCATGGCGGCATACCATGTCACATGGCATCACAGATCTGGTCAGACTTCTCCTTTCTGAAGCCTTGGGCCTTGGGCAGCGGCACAAGGAGCGCTTCCACCGCACTGCCTCCTTGTGCTCTTCGAAGCCAAGAACACTTTCTGAAGACTTTCCAATTCTCCCAGGCCTCGACAAATCAGCCAAGCAGTGCCGGTGAAAGGCCAGAGCACACGATAATGGTCGAAAATCCTGCCTCCCTCTTGACTTTGCCTTCCTGTCAGTTCCACGCAGGATCGAAGGATGTGGATCTCCAATCTTAAAGGCATTGCTTGCAAGGTGGAGCCTTGCGTCTTGATGCTTGCTCTCTGTCCGAGATGAGCTGCAGGTTCCGCATGTTCTCCTTGTACTCTATTCCAAATACCTTGGCGAGACTGCCGTCTCCAGCAACTATGGAAACCCAACGCCCTGGGCAGGTCCAGAAGCCTCACTTTCGAAGACAAAAACACATTCAGACCACGTTTTGATTTGGCTAGCAACAGCACGTAATACTCGAGGCGCGGGCAACAACCATCTTAGACAACCGTTTTCCCCGACGGGTACCCAAAAGAGCTACGACGGACGAACCCTTTCTTTTTGGATGGTTTGAAGCGCATTCACGCCGGGTCCGTCGCAATCGCCAGTACGAGGCAAGCCGGCGCCGGGGGACGCTTTTAGCTGCCCCGGCCCGCTGCCCGCCAGCGAGCGACGACCCGAAGGTCTCCAAATGAAAAATCTCTCCCCCAATAAGGGCGGTGAGGGTGGGAGCTGAAAATCGTCGGGGGACGTGGAGCAGACAGCGGCTGCAGCATCCACGTCGATTCGACGGTTGTCCCTACGCACATAAATGTGCTACACGACAACCGTTTTCCCCGACGGGTACCCAAAAGAGCTACGACGGACGAACCCTTTCTTTTTGGATGGTTTGAAGCGCATTCGCGCCGGGTCCGTCGCAATCGCCAGTACGAGGCAAGCCGGCGCCGGGGGACGCTTTTAGCTGCCGCCCGGCGCTCCCCTCACCCACTCTGCGCCGGCTTAGCCCGCTCACACCGCCAGATTCAGTAGCTCGTCGGCGGCGTCATTCACCGCGAAGTCCAGGTCGGCGGCGGCCCGGGAGAGCACCTTGAGGATCGACTCGACGGGTGTGTGAACCCGCTCCCAGCCGGAGCTCTCCGCCGTGTGAAGGTCCCCTCTCGACACTGCGTCGGAGACGTTGGCTTTGGACGGCACCCGACGGAAGTCGGGGAGCCATTCCGACAGAGCCGCCGTGGACCAAAAGGCCGCCAAGACGCCGTTGACGGCGGGGTCCTTCCCGTACCCTTTGGTGAGTGCCCATTGGCCGGCGACGTTGTCGATGAAGGCCAGCCACCTCTGGGGCAACCGACGGGACAATGTGACCAGCGCCAGCACCTGGGCGACGATCTCGAGGACGTAGATAAACGCCCGACGGGAGGCGAAAATGTCCAGGAACTTGGCCGGCACCACGCCGCAGTCATAGAAGACGAGGGCGCCGATGCGGACGACGAAGCCCCAACCGTTCCGGCCTCGGGTCCCCGGCCGGATCCCGACTTCTGCCGGTATGTGCCCGGCTTTGTGTCTCACCTCGCCGGGCTGGTAGAAGGCGTCGGCGTAGATGATCGCCGCCGGTGCCCCGTCGTCTATGATGGGTACCCTCCTTGGCCGGATGTCTGCCAGCAGGGCCCGGAGAGACGTGAGGGCTGCCCGGAGGCCCGTCGACAGCGACGTGGCCGACGTGGCCGCCGCGTCGTGTGCCCTTGAATAGACGGGCTGAAGGGCTGCCTTCCCCAGGGCGCCGAAGGTCGACTGGGTGATGAAGTTGAGCTTGCCGGCCAGACGGTTCGCCACATCCGGCGTGAGCTCGTCGTTGGCCAGTGCGTCGTCGATCGTCGTCAGGACCTTCTTGACGCGTCGTGCGGTCGGCTGCAGGACCACCGCGTCGGTCTCGACGGACACCAGGACCCCTTGGACTGTCTGCTGAGTCGCCGGGGCCTGGGCCTTGGACGGCTTCGTCTGCAACCCGACGAGCTCGAAGAAGTCGGCCATCGCCTGGAAGGCCGAGTTCGCCGACTCATCCATGTCGACGCCGTTGAAATCGTCGACGAAGTGGCCGGCCAGGATCCAAAGGAGCACCCGCTGTATGGCCTGGAGGGCGTCGGCTGTCCGGTTAAAGTGCCACACCGACGCGGCGGCGCCGAAGCACATCGCCATATGAAACCAGAGGGATACGCCGGCTGGGCCCGCGATGAAGGTGCCGGAGTGCGCCGGGTGTTTGACCGGCCACTGGCGGTAGGCGTTGAGGAGGTCGTGCCCGAATATCCTCGCCAGTGTCGCCGGCCCCCCCGCCTGGTCGACCACTCGCCGGATCATGTCCACGAAGTCGTCGACGAAGTGGTGCGTCGGGACGTCGTGGGCCCTGACGGTGGAGTTGTGTCCGGACCTGCGCCAGTCTTCGGCGCGACGGACCTTCGCTCCTCCCTGTTCGTCTTCTTGCACGACGGGGAAGGAGGCTGCGGCAAAGGCCTGGCCCGGCGGCGGCGGGACCAGACGGTCGGCCCGTCGTCTTGAAGTTCCAGCCGTCGGGGGCCCGAGTTGGGCCGACCACCCGGCCGAGACGGACTTCCTCCACGAGCTCGGCGAGGAGGGTGTCGGTGTGCTCCCCGACGGTGGCTGTGGAAGCCCGCCGCTTGATGTACTCCCAGTTCGCCGACGCGAAGTTCTCGATCGACGCCGGGTTGGAGTACTTCTCGTCGGTCCTGGTTCGCCACCCCGGGCCTCGGCGGAGTTCGCCCAACATGTCGAAGCCGTCGGTCAGGTCCTCCTGCATGCCGGGGACGTCGGGGTAGCCGACGATGCGGAGCAACTCCAGGATGACGGGGATCTGCGTCGGTCTCGCCTTGCCCGGTGTCGAGTATGTCGATCTGACCGACGGCGACCGGTGCTCCAGCCAGCGCTGCGTGTGGTCCTCCATGTCGTCGACGAGGTGGGAGATGTCCTGTAGTACCTCCCGCCGGATCCTCGCCAGGTCGTGGCGCCACGACCGCCAGAGGAGCAGTACACGCTCCAAGGCCGGCTCCAGATCGGGCCGCCGGGTCACCGTGCAATGCCGCAGGGACGCCGACAGGTGCCAATGAAGGTCCGGGTCGTCGTCGGGGAGGTCGATGTCCGGTCGGTGTCGCGGCGGTGGCTCCATCGGCACCGGTCCGCCGCCGAACTGCTCCGCTGCCCACTGGAGGGTTGACCGACGTGGCTCAGGTACCGGTGCTGCCGTCGAAGAGGAAGCGACGGAGAAGGCCACGATGATCGCCAGAAGGCGGCGGGCTACCCCCCAGTGCCATCCGTTGGCGATGACGCGGTGGCGGGCGGTGTCGTCGACGAAGCTGGCCTGGGTGTAACCCGACGGGATGTGGTGAAGGCGCTCCTTGACGCCCGCCGGGATGTTGTGCAGGCGGCCCGCGTCGTCGTGCATCATGGCCTCCTCGACGTAGTGCCAAGGGGCGAACCGTCGGCCGTCCGCCGCCCAACAGCCCTTCGCCGGTTCGGGAAGCTTCTGCCGAACCCTCTTCGGGGGCTGCCTCCCGCCGGCGTCTTCAGCCGGTGTCGTAGAGCACGGGAGGCGCAACCTGCCGGACTCGACGGACTGGTGGAAAGAGAGGCCGGCCTCGGTGAGCTCGTCCGCCGGTTGTCTCGGGGCCTCGAGCCGGAGTCGGCGGTACGAGCCCTGCTTCGACCAGTGAAGCGGTCGGCCCGACGCCGGGTCCACCAGGGCGCCGGTGAGGTCCGCCGACATCCACCATAGTCGGGGCCGGGAAATCCAGCCGAAGTCCGACCCGCATACCAGGACCGGCTGCACGCCGAGGGCGTCGCTGATCTTGGCGGCGTTGGCGGGCTCCATCACGACGTTCTCGAAGAGGAACGCCACCCGCCGGTCGGAGAGGTCGGCGGTGATCTGGTTGAACATGTCGACGGTGAGGAGGAAGAGGCTCCCCCTCTCGCCCGCGTGGCCGGTCGCCGGGCCGATTCGCGAAAAGTCTTGGCACGGCGGAGCGGCGGTGACAATCACGGTGCACTCGCCGGTCGGGTCGGCCTTCCTGACTGCCGCCGCGACGGAGCCGGGCGACTCCGATGTGACGTCGCCTCTGTGGACCAGCCACGGCAGCCTCGCCGACGCCAGCCGTCGGCAGGTGGCGTCAATCTCCCACGCCAGCGCCAGGGTCGGTTGACCGAATAGATTCTCCACCAGCGCCGGGGCCGCACCGATCCCGTCGAAGAAAGAGAGCAGGATGATTTTGGGCGCCCGCCGGGTGCGCTTGAGTGCCGGTCGGACGACGGACGGTACTAGCACATTGGCTGCCGGGTACCTCGCCGTGGTTGTCCGATCCGGGCGAGGCCCCGCGCTGTCCCTAGCGGCGGCGCTTGGGGTCCTCCCGACGGCCTTCGTCACGGCGGTCCTTCCCACCGCGACGGTCGTCCTGGTCCCACTGGTCCTGACGGCCGCGGCCCCAGGACTGGCGCCAGCCCTGGTCGCGACCCTCGTCGCGACCGGTCTGCTTCCAGCGGTTCTGGGGCTGGCGACGGTCGTCGTAGTGATCACGACCCCAGTCCCTGTTGGCGCCGTCGTCCTCCCAGTCCTGCTCCTCCCGGCGACGGGGCTGGCGACCTCGGCCCTTCCCCTTCCCCTTGGGGGTGTCGGCGGTGTGGTCGTCCTCCGTCGGGTGGTTGGGTGGGCCTCCCGTCGGTGCCCCCGTCGGTCTCTTCGGCGGGCCGGGCTTGACGGCCGACTGGAGCGCCTCGTTGAACGCCGCCTGGTCCGCCATGATCGCCGAGGTCACCTCCTCGAAGGTCCGGGCGAGGCGCATGGACATGGCGAGCTGGTGCGCCGTGGCGTCCCAATAGGCAGACGACGGCCTCGAGCTTGCTCGAGTGGAGCCGGGCTTTGGTCGTCCACCAATCGACGTACCTAATGACGCCGGCCTCCGTCCCCACGCCGGTCAGGACCCAAGCCCAGCGGATGGCGTCCAGGCCGTCGACGACGGCCCATATGCCCCTCGGGACGAACGGCTGGTTCTCCTCCACCGCCAGGCCGCCGTCCACGAACTTGATGTTCTGTGCCCCGCCGGCGCTGCGACGGCCGGCGAGGGGGTTGACGACGCCGAGGGAGGACCAAGTCCGGGACGCCAGGCTCGCCGAGGCCGAGCGGCGTGTAGAGCTTGGACTTGGTGTGCTCCCAGTGGATCCTGGCGAGCACCTCCTCTGCCCCGACGAGGCGCTCCGCCGGGAACGAGCGGGGCTCACCCCCGAGCTGGACGGCGTTGTAGCGGGCGACGAGGTCGGTCCACTCCGGGAAGGTCCTCGGCGGCTTCTCGCCGACCATCGTCGGCAAGGTGGCCGGTGGTGGTGCTGCCGTCGACGGGGCCGGGGCCGGGGTGGAGAACTCGTTCCACTGCCGCCGGGCCTCCGACCACATGTGGCGGATGATCGCCCGGACGACCGGCTGCTCCGCCGGCGACGCTTTGTATGTCGTCCCGGCGATCTCGTCGCCGTCGCGGAACGGCTGGAAGACTCTCGCGTCCACGTCGGACCACTCGTCGGCGACGAGGGCGAGGGTGGCCGTGCGGTTGAGCGACCGCGCCTTCAGGTACGCGACGAGGTCCGGACCCGCCCCCGCCGACGTGGCGAGATCGTCGAAGTCGGTCAGGACGTCGGCGACGAGCTGCGGACCCATAGCCATGATCACGACGAGGGGGCCGGCGGGGATGGACAGGCGGTGCGATCAAAGACGGGCTGCGGCAAGAAACAAGAAGCACAGTGCACAGCGACGGGCTCACCAAGTGCACGGCCCCGGTCCCTTTTCTCAGGACGACGACGAATCGTCGGAATCTGAGCTAGATGCCACTGGGGAGGCTGCCTCCTCCGTCGGCGACCCGACACCGTCGGCCGACGGGGCCTTCGGAAAGCACCTGAGGCACTTGGCGGCTCCCGCCGGCAGCTCGGTGATCCTATAAAAACTCCGGACGCCGTATGGCCAGGAACAACCCCGCGCTTTCCACAGAAAGCGGTCCGACGAAGCCTCCGTCGGATCAGGGGCGTGAGCCCGTTTCTGCCGCTCATTGTAAATGAGGTGCTCCGGCGGCGCGACGGCGACCTGCTTCACCGTCTCGGGTCTGACGGGGCCGGGCTCGAACGCGACCGCCGGGGAGTGATCTTCGGGCGGCGGCGCCTCCACCTGAGCCGGCTCGCCATCCTCCAGTGCCAGCGGCGGCTGGTGGCCGAGAGCCGGTGGGGCCTTGGCCTGCGAGATGGCGTCGCCATACGCCGGCCGGACGCTGATTATCTCGACGTCCTCCGCCAGTATGCGCCGGGGGACGTCCGGGGCGACTGCCAGCGGCGCCGCCTGGACGTACCGCTCGACGGCGGCCGAAGACCATCGGCCCAGCAACTGGATGATGGGCGTGTTGACGCCCTTAGACGCCAGCCACGCTGCGCCGGCCACCCGTGCCAAATGGCCGTTGAAGAGCTGGACGGTGGCGCCGTTGTGGTCGGTGGTGGTCAGCTGGATCCCCGCCGCCAGCAAGACCCGCCGGAAAAAGAGGACGGCCTCTGACTTCTCCCATGTGTCACCGGTCCCGTCGGGGAACAGGGGTGCCCCGGAGACATGGCGGAGCGCCGCGTGGTATGGGCACAACGGCGCCACGGTCGCCCCGCAAGCGCACCGTAGCTGGCGTTGGGTCAGCTCGACCTCGCCGCCGGTCGCGGTCTTGTGCAGGGGAAGCCGGAGGGCGACGGTGCCGTCGGCGACATCAATGTCCTGCGTCCGCGCCGCTGAGAACTCGATCTCGCGGAGCATGAACCACACCGCCAGGATGAGGGCGTCGACGGCGTGTGCCGTGACCCACGGGCTCCACGCTTCGGCCCCCGGCGGGTCCACCCTGGAGACCAGGGCCACTAGGCGGTCGACGGCGAAGATGGCCTTCAGCTTCGAGCCGGGCAGGCCGCGGACCACTGCCCGGGCGTAGCGTCGCATGGCCCGCCGGATTAAAGGTCGACGGCCTCGCCGCGAAACTGTTCCTGGTATGACACGGCGGCGTCGAAATAGTTCTGGACGGAGCGATAGCCGCCTCGACGGAAGGTGGCGGCAACCTTCCGCACCGCCTCCGCCGAGATGGGCCAGGGAGCGACGGCCCAAGTCTCGCACGCTTCCTGCCACGTGCGGACTCTCGACTGGAAAGGTGCCTGGGACGACTTCGCCAGGATGTTCTCGTCGATTTCCGCCAGCGCCGCCTCCCTGTTCTCCGGGAGGGCCGCTTCAAAGGCGGTGCGTTTGCACGCTCGACGGGTATCCCTCCTGAGCGGGATGTCCTTCCGCCTTTCCGCCGGCCGGTCGGGGACCGTCGCCGGGGGCGGGATTGGTCCACGAACCGTCGCCGCGACCACTACTGGACCGCCGGTCGGTACTACGGCCGTCGCTGAGGGCCCTATCGCGGGCCCCGCCGGTACGATCTGGTTTGACGGGGCCGGTCCTGGGGACCGTCGCCCCTCTGGCTGGCCAGCCGAGGCGGTGGGATCCGAGGACCGTGGCCGGGACGCCAGCTGTGACTAACGCCGAGGCCCGGGCTAGGGCGGAGTCGACGTCCACGGCGCCAACCGTCGGCAACAGGGGCAAATGGTCGGAAGCCCCCAGCTCGACGAATGCCCTCACCAGCCGGCCGAAGTCCGCCGTCTGTCCACGGCGGGGCCGCATGGGGCAAACGGGGGCCTCGAGCCTAGGCGTGCGCCGGCCTTGGCGCCTCGAGCCAACCGAACCTCCTCAAGAAAAAGGTAAAAGAAAAACAGGTGCACGACGAACGACGGGCAAGCGAGAAAGACTGCACTGCGACGGCCGCCCTCCTTTCTCGCGCCGGTGGCGCCTGATCGGCTCTGAGTCGGGCCCTGGGCGATTACAACGCCGGGCAGAAAAGGAATTAAATTAAGGCGACGGGAGAGGCCCGCGAAGGCTTCACCGACGCACCCCCTGAGGCTTGAATTCCCACGTCGCCAGCGACAAAGCCGTCGGTGAGGTCGACCTTGTAGAAGACGGCGACGGGGAGATAGCGACGGGGGCCGGCCGACCGGATCACCGGTGCCGGGACTGCTCATGGCAGTCCTCGCACTCGTGGTGGTCGTGGCGATCCAGGTCGACGGTGCCGCCGGCACGAATCAGCACCGGACGGAGGCATCTGCCGGGGATGCCGCGGCAGCGACCGTTGGTGCACGGGTGCCCGCACCACCCGACGCACCAGATCTCGCCGGGGATCTTCTCTGGAATGCGGCCTCCCCGGACGCCGTGCGGCAGTGCCCGCAGCACATAGTACGCCGCTGCGGCGGCCGCCGGTACCATGGCTGTGGAGCCGCCGGCGGCGGCCCTCTCGATGTCCTCCAACTGCTCCAGGTTGGCGACGGTGAGGGGCCGGAGCGTCTCCGGCACTGTGACGTCGGACCTCACGCCGGACTTGCCCATCAGCTCGACGTGGTCGCGCCACTCCTGCGAGCAAAGCATCCGGCGGATATGGGCCAGACGCCGGTACTCGCGCCGGTGGCGCTCGAGCTCGGCGGGGGAGGCGTTCTGCCCCGGCCGCCGTGGAAGGATGGGGAAGCCGGCGCCGGTGATCGGGTCCGCGTCGGGGTACATCTCTTGCGGCGTTGGTGTAGGTGCCCTGCGGAATGACCCCGACGGTGCTGGCGGCGACGGCGACGGTGCCGATGCGGCCGGCATGGCTTTCACCGGCGGCCCGCCGGTGCGCTGGTGTCGCGACTCATCCTCGAACTGCCGCCGGAGCTCCTCGGCGATGCGGTCCTGGTAGTCGACGATCGGCACCGACGGGGCCGGCGGCGGCGGCCCAGGGATCACGGTCGCCGGCGTGATCCGATCCGGGAGTACCGTCTGGTACCGCCGGTAGTATGCCTCGGCCGTCGGGATATTGTGTTTGTAGGCCAGCTCCGCGTCGGTCCGACAGAGATACCCCACCTGGTCCCAGACCTCCGGCGGGCTGCCTTTCGGGACCGACGGCGCCGGGCGGGTGGGCTTCTGAGGGTAGCCCCCACCCGATGGCTTGCCGGCCGCCGGCATGTCGGCCGAGGACGACGGTGCTCCGGAGACCCCCGCGTGCGCCGAAGGAGGCGCGTGGTGCCTGTCGACGGGGGGTTCCGGGCACGGATCGTCGGACGGCGCCGGCCCTGCTGCTGCTCCACTAGACGACGCCGGTGTAGCCCTCGACGAATCGCCATACACGACGGGCCCTGGCGCGGCGGCTGGACTGTTGATCGCCGAAACCAGGGCCCGCCGTTCCAGTCCAGACCACTCGCCGAATAGTTGGCTGAGGTCGTCGCCGGAGGCGACGGCTCGACGAATCATGTCGAGCGCCGCGACGACATCGGCGGACTGGTATGCCATGGCGTCAGGAGGGATCTACCGGAAAGCTGAAAATCGTCGGGGGACGTGGAGCAGACAGCGGCTGCAGCATCCACGTCGATTCGACGGTTGTCCCTACGCACATAAATGTGCTACACCACAACCCTGCTGCCGAAGACGACACAAACCACCGCGACTCGTGATTTCGAGGGCTGGTAACTAAGCACAAAAACGTCAACAACACATTAAAGCATGAAGCCACGCATGGCAGTGCTCACAACTTCTCGCCGAACACTGTTTCAAACATCAGGTGTTTTGTCGCAGGCTCTGCAACATTGCTGGGGAAGTGTCGTTCCTTGGCCAAGCTTAAACCCCCTTCCTGTCACGCTGCCCTCTTTGAGCGTCTCCCTTGTCCCTGCGCCTTCCCTGATTTCGAGCGACAGAAAACACACATCCAAATGCTGCTCCATGCTGCGCTCTTCGCCACTTCCCATAGCCTGAATGAAACCAACACCATGTGGTTCGACTCCTACCATGCCTTATGGAAACTCAACGGGGCTTCCGCCATGCTTGTGGCAGTCATTCCAACCAGTCACTTGCAGCCATGACTGCCGACGACAGCGCAGCAAATACGACACAGGTTAGTCTATACAGCTCATTTGGTGTCCTCTTGCGATTTACATGTCGGGCGAGCATCTTGTTGTCAAGGTCCACAAGAAAGGTCAAGGCCAAGCTGTTGAAAAGGGTGTCCTGCATTACATCGTGCCACTGCACAAGCAATGCATGCGTCCGGCCCACGGTCTGCTCAAACATTCATCACTTACAGCCAGGATCTTGGCGGATTACCGTGGAATGTAACTGGATGTCTGACGTCCTGCACCGTGTCACAAACAAGGACGACGCTGACAGAGTCAATCAGAACCTCAAACATGCTCTGCAGAATCTACGGTTGCTGTTCGAGAGCCTTCCTCGTACCTGCCCATTGATAGACATCAGAATCCAGCTGTGAGCTTCAAGCGTGGGCAAATGTGGTGTAAGATGAATTGCATAGGAGCGACCACATAGCCGATGGACAGCTTGAGCAGTTCTGCCGTGGTGGCACACGACACAAGGACGGGTGTGCTCCATAGAAAGGCCCACATTGCACTCTGATCTGGTCGGAATCCTGGGCATACCGAACATCAAGAGGTGCTAGACAAGAAGCTGCCCTCCCCACTAGACCGGACGAGAGGCTCTCGATGTCAATCCAAGTGGTGGGGTTCAGAACGAAGAGTAATAAACGACAGGCGCCCAACAACTCCGGAAAGAGCATCAGTCCCAACCTCAGACAAAGTCCCAACTTCGCCAAATCTTGAAGCAGGCATGCACGGAAGAACCGGGTCACGTGTAAACCATCAGCGTCTTCGCAAAGGGCAGGATCTGCTTTAGCTCATCTGACACTCCTGTCAGGAAGTGCCCAAGAAAAGTGCGAGCACTGGACTGAAACACCAGTTGGTTTAGAGCTCTTCTACGTCGATTTCTTGAACTTTAGTCAGCAGTTCGTGGCAGCTGGGCTTTGTAACCCGCAAGAACCCAGTCTCCTTCCCCATGCACCGGCTTTTCCAGTTCCTGGCCCAATCGCATGTAAAGCAAGCTGGCCTGTTGCGCAGCGAACCTGGATGGCAGAAGTCGACATGCGGATATTCTGTCTCATGTTCGATCGACCAGCGGCGCCGCCCAGGCAAAGTGTGACAAGAGTGTCAGTCCAACATCTGCATAAGCCATCACTCTCGCTTCTGCGGCAGCGAGTTTCGCTACTAACAACTTGTCTATTTTGAATGTGGGCTTCTGAAATTTGCTGAGACAGCGTGCCCGGCCATTGCAGCATTGCAGGCGCTGTAGTTCTCATGCTGCTGAACTGAACTGAACAATCTGCGACGTCTGCTAATTTCCCGAGAGGGCTTGGGTTTTTTGGTCTCCCACCTGATAGGACCAGCCCGCCTCGCAGGTGAGGTCAGACAGGACCGGCTGTGGGGTTTGGATTTGGGGCTTGGTTCTTTCGTTTTTGATCGACCTTCTTGCGGAGCTGACTGGTGTCAACATCAGGGTGCGAGTGAATGCAGTCGCCCTATGCGTCGGCAACACAGCTTGATGTCCAAGTCCAAGTCGCAACGGGAGGCAGCCCAAACACAGCCACATCGGGTGGACCCGCACGGTTCCTTGCAGCTTGCACGCATCAAGACTCACGTTCAAATGTCACTTCCGCTCGGATATGGAGCTCTGCTGCATGCATGACTTCCGGAAGTCTCCTCCAGGAAGTTGCAAGTGAACCCCCCCGAAAGCTGCCAGCGTCACAGAGTCATACATGTCGTCGTCAAAGACTCAGCGGCACAGGTCATCGTACAGAAGCGGTGGAGGTAACAAGCACATGCATCATACACCGCACTGCTTGAAGTGCAGCCTGGAAGCCTACATGCGCATCTGTTATGGGCAAATCTTTGCCCTGCGAAGACATGAACGAATACAGCACCCAAAACGCATCGCGCCCGATGGCTGTGTGTAATGCGCTCAAGATGCAGCTGAACCAAGACACCTCCGCCTGTTGAGACTTGTCTTGACCAACTTGGCCTGAGGAAGCAGAGTGGAGATGAACCTCCACCCAAGGCAGAAAAGGTGTCTCACAGCAGGCGCCACACCCTCTGTCGAAGAGTTGTCATCGTCTCTGGACGTGAACGGCTCGGAGTCGTTGCTGATGGAGTGGTAATCGGGTTCGCGGCTGCGGCTGTATTTGTTCGCAGACCACCATGCCCTTAAAGTATCTAGCACGGTCAGACTCAAAGGTGGGAAACCCCATGCAGCTCGGGCCACGGCCAACAGCGCATTGGAAGCACGGTGACAAGGAACTTGGTTCATGGATTTGTCAATGCCCTAGTCCTTCCGTGATTACATATACATATATACAGCTTGCCATGCTCTGCTGTAGGGCACGTGTGCCTGGCATGCCTGGGCTGGGGGTCTGGGATTCTTTGCCTTTGCAGTGTGCTGAGTGTCAGAACGCTTGAACCCGTGCTCGCAGAGTAATTCATGCGACGGCTGCGCTCTGAGAGAAGACACCACCTTGCCGGTAGCAGTGTCGAGCTCTTGTTCTTGCACGCAGAGAACATCTCGCAGCTCCACGCTAAGCTCCGAGTCCGTTCAGCTTCTGACGCTTGTGGCCGTTGACCTCCAGGCAAACCTGAAGTGCACTCTCCCGGTTCCCAACCACACCAGGCCAATCAATACGTAACACCGGGATCTCGCGACAATGAATGCACAATATCGCATGCCAGGGTGCTCCGTTCGAGAGTACCTTTGGTGGGCTTGACAACCTTGGTAGCTTCACTCTCTCTCTGCTTTCAGCTGCCACACAGAAGGACAGCTGTTTAACATGGAGCGAAGGCAAGAGACATGTCGTCGAACATCTTTGAAAGTCTGGCCGTATCCGGATGAAATGCCTCAGCGCTTCACAGCTCACTTCGCAACCTGCTTCAGACACCACGAATGACCAAAGCTCTGTCACGGACAGGCTGATGCAAGGTTCCGAGTTCTTCGTTCTAGTGACTGCAAAGACTTGAGAGCAGGGCTACGAAAGCTAGAAGCAGGACGGCGGAGGCTTGTGATAAGTGGTAACAACTCTAAACTCTACAAACGGCTATGCTTGCAAGCATGACCTTCAAGGGGGGCGGGAGGGCGGGGGTCCTGCTAGGGAGGGGGGGGACCCACCCCTCCCTTAAATGGGTGCCTGCGAGCCGGGAAGAACCTCAAATCAAGCAAACAAGGGGGCCCCACCCCGCCTAAATCCTTTGATTTGAAGCCTTTTGAGGCCACAGGCGGCCCTGTTCCTCCTGCATCCAAGACGAAAACGGCCTATGACTGGGCCTGAAGGCGAGAGTTTAGTGACTTATGTGTACGGTTCCAGGACGACCCCCAGGTCAAGTCGGATGTGGGCACTTGTTTCAGGACAGCGCAGGGAGGCATCTACACAACATCTAACATTGCTCGGGAAGGTTGGGTTCATGCATGAACCTGTTAGAAGCCGACCATTGAACAGAAGCCAACATTGGCAGCAGGATCACACCGCCTACAACAACAAAAGCAGGAAAACAAAAAACGAACCTGCAGGCTCCAAACAGCGGCAAAAACACGCAAGCGCGTCTCAGTGCGTTCACACGCGACACCTACGAACGTTGCAATGGAGAGGCTCTCCGAGACAACCAGAGCTTAGCAAAACACCCACGCAGTGCGATAGCCCCAGGCCCGCCCCCCGCCTCCGAGCGATGAGTGCAGATCTCCAATGGGAAGCAGCGTGTGTGGGCAGAAATTCGCTCAAAAGGTCTACTCCGAGCAGGATTGCAAGATCCGATCAAGCATGGTCAATGCACCTTTCGGGATTCACTCTGGTTGAGTGTCACTTGCTCGTCAGAGCATGAATTTGCGATGGCGCCTGAAGCCCAGCTGATACAAGCCTCAGCAGTTTTGTCCACGTCTTTCAGCATGTCATGTGGTTCCGTTTTGCTCCCTGGAGCCCGTGCCCAAAGCGAGATCTCGAATTCAAGCGATGCCACCTGCCACCTGTGGACTCGATGTTGATGGCACAACATGTGGTTATCAGCACGTGCGCTCCACGAAGGCTGCGGCTGCAATCACGATTTTCTCCAAGGCGTAGATATGTAGCCCGCAAGATCAAACTGTTGCGTCCAGTCCCGAGAATGGGCAAAGCCCACCGCAATGACAGAACGGCACGAACCTAGTGTGATCCATGTCCTGTGGTGTTGGCATCTTGTGCGCTTCTGGTGTAGCTGTTCTCACTGTCTCTGTGTTTCGGTGCTTCGGCACGAGTGACGGTTGAGTCATGTTGAGTCGAATAGCCAGGCAGACATGAAATCCAAGCAAATGTCCAAGGCATACAGCAAATGTACAACAGAAGAGTAAAGAGCCCAAGCAGCCTGAGAACCTCCTTCTTAGCTTGAAAGTGCGGCGTATGCTGTGGCTATTGCAGTCATGCTGCTGATCGGATTGCCTGGCGCTGGATGTTTATCACGTCTTGTCTGGATAGACGAAACGCCTTGGACAAAAGGGAACATGTCACAAAATGTCCTTGTACTGGCGATACAGTCTCGATCTCATTTTCGAATGCTGCTGCTGGCCAGATGCAGTGGCAAGATCATAAATTTCAGAGGAGAGGTCGCAGGAGAAGAGACCTTGGCCGTTTCAATTGGCACCGACAAGCCAGTTCCTTCTGACATGGTACGACTCAACCTGAGATGCTGGCCGACGTCGTCAGTATTTACACTGAGCAGGATCTTGTCAGATTGTTTCCACCAGTCCATGAAATGATGGTCCTCCAGGCCTGATTCGCTGGTTCCGGCGGATATGCATATCACTCACACATAGGCCTGCTCATCCGTTTGGTGTACTCACATGCATCTGGTCTGGCTAACCACTTTTTTGTAGCTTTGCCAATCCTGTGCTTCTGCCCACCTGTCGCTGCAAAAGCGGGTTATGCAGACTCGACATTGCAGGCAAGAGGCTTGGAATCTCTTTGGTGATCATGTTGGAGGTTGGACAAATCTCCTTAGCTGCACAGCTCTGCTTACCTGCTGCAACTCAGCCCAGGCCAAAGCACGACCTTCCCATGGACATGAACGAAAGCCGCCTTGTGCACCCCTCGTGGCACGTGCAACATGCTTTTTCCGGCTGGGCTGACTGGTGCTTGCATGACACCTTATTTGGAGGCAAAAACGTACACGTACTCCTATCGAAAAGCTCCTCATGACTATCAGCTCACAGCAACAAGCGTTGAGGGGCTTAGGGTATTTATGTGTTGTGTACGCCTTGCTCGCTTGATACTCCTCCATTGTGTGTGTATGTGTGCGTGCATGCAAGGACGTGTATGTATACATGTGTACACAACACTTACCGGTAGATATGATCGAATGCTCTGAAGCATCACATTGTGCAGCCTAATGCACTATGCATAGTCACGCAACCGAACATAGCCAGTCCAGGCAGCGATTCCTACACCGCCATCCTCGAAGATGCCGTGTAGAACGCTTTGTCGACATTTGTCTGGAAGATAAGTCACATGGCCCAACCGCCTGCATCTCACGGGTCGCTCGAATGAGCAATTTCTCGACTACGGACAAAGTGCTTCTGCTGCTGTGCACTGGGACTGCGTGTAGGGTGTTGTTGACGAAGTCTGCGCCTGATGTTGAGCTTCAGCATGCCTTGGAGGAACTGACTGAGCAGAATTTTGGGCACATGCGGTCAGTTTTTGCTTTCCGGAAGCAGTAGCATCTCTCAGCCAATAGGCAGGGTCTCGCACGGCATTCTAGCACAGACGTTGACAACGCTTCGGAAGGGCCACGTTGGAGCCAAGCTTCTGTCTATGATCAGCTCGCTCTCTTCCTGCCAATGATGGAGTCTTGGGTTCAGCACCAACATGTTTTGGACTGACACAACTTTCATCAGAGTTACATCATCAGGAATCTCGGCGGTGTGAAAAGTGATCGGCAGCTTCTGGAAGGCATGGCTTCTCTCCTTGAAAGAGCCGATGTCATGCAAGACCCTCAAGTCAAGGCCGTTCTGATGTCCTCCCCGCGCTTCAAAACTGGGTGACACTTTTCGTTCTGGCCGAGCGACAAGCAAGGCCGGCAGCAGGTACGGCTTGACAGTGTTTGCATGAGGGTTGCCACAAACATCGATGCCCACCACCAGATCGGGATGGACCTCGGATGGACGCCTTTCGATCCGCAATGCAGGCCTTCGCGTATTGGCAAAAGTCTGTCCCCGGACTGTTGGTAGGTAGGTAGGTAGGTAGGGTTCGACCTGCAGCAGTAGCCGCGGCCTCCACCACTCTTCCCCGCCCAGCATCTCGGGGGGCCTCCGCAAGCGTCATCGGCCCCCTCCGCGGGAGGTTCCAGAGGGGGCTTGAACTAGAGTCTGGACTAAAAGTGGAAACGAAGGCCGAGACCGGCACGGACTGGTCCCGAAAGAAATGGGGAGCCTGAAACCCGCCGGAAGTGGCCCAAGTCTGGGTTATCAGCCCGGAAAGGGGGGTTTGGGCCAGAAGAGGGACGCAAAGTGGGTAATTGGAGAAGGGGAAGGACGAGAATGCACTCGCGGACGCGTAGAGGCGGGGGGCCCAGCTGAGCCGGACTCGAAACCGAGGCCTGGCATGTAATGGTAAGAATCGGGGTAGCGGCTACGGCTTCACGAGAATCGTACATTCTCGGAGCGAGACTATACGGCCTTGCGAGAAGCGGTGTCTGGAACGATGTGAGGAGCGATGCGTAATGCGAAATGAAAGAAGCGGAGCTACTGCCGTGCGCGGGTCGTTTACCCAGGTCCCCGATCTCGGAGCTAGAAGCGGGTCTGCAACGACTTGGGGAGCGCTGTGTGGTGGACGCGATGGAAGAAGCGGAGCTACGGCCGGGATTCAACAAACCGGGGAGAGAGAGGGAGTCTGGGACGACATGAGGGGCGCTGCTTGGTGGACGAAATGGAAAGAGGCGGAACTACGGCCTTACACGGGTCGTTTACCAAGACCCGCCACCTCGGGGTGGGAAGGGGGGTCTGGAACGACATAGGAGCTTCTTGGACGATATGGAATGAAGCGGAGCTACGGCCTGACGCAGGTCGTTTACCAAGACTAAGACCCGCCACCTCGGGGTGGGAAGGGGGGTCTGGGACGACATGAGGAGCTGCGTGGTGGACTAAATGGGAGGAAGCGGAACTACGGCCTTATGCGGGTCGTTTACCAAGACCCACCACCTCGGGGTGGCAAGGGGGGTCTGGAACGACATGAGGAGCTGCGTGGTGGCCGAAATGCAAAGAATCGGAGCTACGGCCTTGCGCGAGTCGTCTACCAAGACCCGCCACCTCGGGGTGGGAAGGGGGTCTGGAACGACATGAGGAGCTGCGTGGTGGACGAAATGGAAAGAAGCGGAGCTACGGCCTGACGTTTCCCAACACCTGCCACCTCAATTGGGAAGGGGGGTCTGGAACGACATGAGGACCTGCGTGGTGGACGAAACTGAACTACGGCCATACGCGGGTCGTTTACCAAGACCCGCCACCTCTGGGTGGGAAGGGGGGTCTGGAACGACATGAGGAGCTGCGTGGTGGACGAAATGGAAAGAAGCGGGGCTACGGCCTTACACGGGTCGTTTACCAAGACCCGCCCGCCACCTCGGGGTGGGAAGGGGGGTCTGGAACGACACGAGGAGCTGCGTGGTGGACAAAATGGAAAGAAGCCGAACTACGGCCCTACGCGGGTCGTTTACCAAGACCCGCCACCTCGGGGTGGGAAGGGGGGTCTGGAACGACATGACATGAGGAGCTGCGTGGTGGACGAAATGGAAAGAAGCGGAGCTACGGCCTAACGCGGGTCGTTTACCAAGACCCGCCACCTCGGGTTGAGAAGAGGGGTTTGGAACGACAAGAAGAGCTGCGTGGTGGAGGAAACGGAAACAAGCGGAACTACGGCCATACGCGGGTCGTTTACCAAGAGGAGCTGCGTGGTGGAGGAAACGGAAAGAAGCGGGGCTACGGCCTGACGCGGGTCGTTTACCAAGACCCGCCACCTCGGGGTGGGAATGGGGGTCTGGAACGACATGAGGAGCTGCGTGGTGGACGAAGTGGAAAGAAGCGGAGCTACGGCCTGACGAGGGTCGTTTACCAAGGACCCGCCACCTCGGGGTGGGAAGGGGGTTCTGGAACCACATAGGAGCTGCGTGGTGGACGAAATGGAAAGAACCGGAACTGCGGCCGTACGCGGGTCGTTTACCAAGACCCGCCACCTCCTGGGGTGGGAAGGGGGGTCTGGAACGACATGAGGAGCTGCGTGGTGGACGAAATGGAAAGAAGCGGGGCTACGGCCTTACACGGGTCGTTTACCAAGACCCGCCACCTCGGGGTGGGAAGGGGGGTCTGGAACGACACGAGAAGCGTGGTGGACGAAATGGAAAGAAGCCCAACTACGGCCATACGCGGGTCGTTTGCCAAGACCCGCCACCTCGGCGTGGGAAGGGGCGTCTGGAACGACATGAGGAGCTGCGTGGTGGACGAAATAGAAAGAAGCGGAGCTACGGCCTTATACGCGGGTCGTTTACCAAGACCCGCCACCTCGGGGTGAGAAGAGGGGACTGGAACGACATGAAGAGCTGCGTGGTGGAGGAAACGGAAACAAGCGGAACTACGGCCATACGCGGGTCGTTTACCAAGACCCGCCACCTCGTGGGGTGGGAAGGGGGGTCTGGAACGAAAAGAGGAGCTGCATGGTAGACGAAATGGAAAGAAGCGGAGCTACGGCCATACGCGGGTCGTTTACCAAGACCCGCCACCTCGTGGGGTGGGAAGGGGGGTCTGGAACGACAAGAGGAGCTGCATGGTAGACGAAATGGAAAGAAGCGGAGCTACGGCTACGGCCTTACGCGGGTCGTTTACCAAGACCCGCCCGCCACCTCGGGGTGGGAAGGGGGGTCTGGAACGACAAGAGGAGCTGCGTGGTGGACCAAATGGAAAGAAGCGGAGCTACGGCCTGACGAGGGTCGTTTACCAAGACCCGCCACCTCCGGGTGGGAAGGGCGGCCTGGAACGACATAGGAGCTGCGTGGTGGACGAAATGGAAAGAAGCGGAACTACGGCCATACGCGGGTCGTTTACCAAGACCCGCCACCTCGGGGTGGGAAGGGGCGTCTGGAACGACATGAGGAGCAGCTGCGTGGTGGACGAAATGGAATGAAGCGGAACTACGGCCATACGCAGGTCGTTTGCCCAGATCCCCGATGTCGAAGCGAGCGGGGTCTGGAACGACAGGGGGAGTCCTTAACTATCCGCTCTCAAAGAGCGCAAACACACGTCGAGGAAGAGGAGACAACGCTAGGAAACCTACAGAAGTCGGTTACCCAGAACCCTGTGTGTGACTGGAGGGGGTGACTTGGTAGGCACGCGTCGAGGAGGTGCCGAACCTAAGGGGCCTGTTACTAAAGAATCGGATGCCCAGACTCTCGAGAACGGCGAGAGGGGGCGACTGGGATGACACAGGATTCCACTCGAGGGAGTGGATGCGAAGGTGAGATAACGCAAACACTCGTCGAGGAAGTGGAGGCGAACCTAAGTAACCTACAGAGGTCGGTTGACCAGACCCCCGTGAGTCGGCGCGAGGGGGAGTGGGCTGCGCATGAGCATGTCAGGGAGCAGCGGTGATGAGGTCTCATACCGCCAAGGTGAGTGGTGAAGTTGTCCGGTGTAGGGCCCATGCTTGTGAGCAATGAGCCACACGTCCAACCCGTGGAGCGCGGAGAAGTGCCTGCGAAGCTCAGGTCGCAGCTGAAGTTGCGCAGTGAGGGAGGAAGGCCATCCGGTAGGCAATCGAGGCGGTCAACGAAGGCCCTTGCGACCAGCAGGTGATCATGTCCGCCAGCTCGGTGGTGATGCGAGGGAAGAGAGGCATACCGGATTGCGACAAAGGAGCGAAAGGCGGGGCAGAGGGCAGAAGCGGCTGCTGGATGTATGCAGGTACAGAATGAATACACGCAAGTAGGTAGACACTACATGTGAGCGCATGGCAGAAACTAGGGAGGCGGCTGAACGGATGGATGAGCGCGGACTGGCAAGAGGATGGGCGAGGAGGCCTGGAATTTAAAGAGCCAATGGAGGGGGCACTGTCACCCCGCCGCAGCTGACGATACAAGGTGTGGGTGCTCATCGGGCCTGAAAGGCAGCCCTTAGTGCCGCCCCGGGGGTCCACACACCTTAAGAGGAGGGGAATCGTCAGAAGGCTGCGACGGGCCCCGGGGCCCCGGACTGTTGGTTTCGCTAGTGACAAAATGAGCTCCGTGCCATCATGCGGACACACAACTGCTTCTTCTGTCTTGTTGCACACTCCCAGAATAGATGGCTTCAACTCGCATTTGGAGGCCCCCCCTCAATTCATACAATATGTCCTTGGGGGTTAGTAGGGATGGAGAAATGTATTTCGTAGGGGTTTTGGACGTTCGAAGGAAAAGAAAGTCTCAGCAAGCAAGTGCTTCGCGGGCATGGTGCACTTTGTTTTGCAGCTGCCATGCGGACCTTGTCCTAGTTCGGGGAGGCTTTCGGGAAGACTTTGTGGAAATAGTCGGACTAGTTAGGATGCCTGAAATACGGCTCTGGAGGATTAGTTTGGATGCCTGACACGCAGCTCTCGGGTTCGTCTTCACGGCACATCCCCCGGCAGGAAGATTGTATTTCGGGCGGGGGGGCGTGAAATACATTCCGGGGCCCTGGGCCCCTGCCAGAAGGTCCGCCTACGTGTAGTGGTTCGTACTGGATCACATATCACTTCGGTTCTCGCGGTAGCCTCGCAGTGAAGGAAAATCTCTGTAAACCACACCTATTGCCTGTGAAACCTCCGACCACTGACAGGACCTCTGCACAGGGAGAGGTTTGAGGTCAGGCAAGATTGTATTTCGGGAGGGGGTGGGCGAAATGCAGTCTACCACGTCTCACACAAGGGAGCAGGACTTCGTTCTCGGTGTGGTGGGGTTTGGGATGTGGCGTTTAGCCATCTCTAAGAGGCTCACATAACGGTGCTGCGAATGTTGTGTCCATGCATCTATGGCCAGCTTCGAGCAAGGGCTCGGAGCGATTTGTCATGACTCTGGCAAACAAAACCAGCATGCACTGCATCTTGCGATTTTCTGACCCTCCCCGGAAATACTTTCTGGAGCCCGAGGGATTGTATTGGGTAGACGTACGGGCCCCCCGGAAATACATTAGTTGGGGCCGGCCCTCTCCCAGATGCTGAACAGCTAGTGGTATGCTTTCGGCCGCAGCCGGAGGATTCAAAACCAATGGCTGTGGTGCCGATCGAGCACTAGAAAGACCGGCTTTGCGCACCGAGACTAAGCGTGCGCCCAGTGCACAGCAGCGGCGGATCTCGCGTGCGACGATTCCAGCACGGGCGGGGAACGCAACGACAACATACGACGACTACCTCATCAGACTGGACAGGGTACAGAAAACTCATGTCTGGAAGGAAAAGGGCCGTTGCATCGATGTTTTCTAGAGGCTAGACCCTGAAAGGCGATGCAGGGCAAGCAACACGAGATGTCGGCCCCCAAACCTAAGCGCATCAGGTGGCTTAAACCCACGATGCTCGAACCTGAGGTGTGCTCAAACCGCTAGTGCTTTGTGGCCTTGCGCTTGGCCAAGACGTGGGCCAAGACACAACGTGTGCAAGGAGGCGGACGCAACAACTGCGGTTGGCAAAAGACGAGCCCCAAATTTGATGCAGTGTTAAGTTACGATATGCACAGCGGATCGAATTACTATCTGCCAGGCAAACTCGGTTGCTGCTGTCGGTGGGCCTTCTGCATCTCAAGGATATCATCAATTTGCGCCTCAGAGACGGCCACTCTATCCAGCTGGCGCTGGCGAACATAAACGACACGACAGGGTCACCAATGTGCTCAATCTTTTCCAAACGGTGCATTCTCGCACTATGTCACACTAGTTATATGCTGGCGATGCACCAGCGCACTTTCCTTGGACGTCACTTTGCCGCGGTCGACACTGAGAAGTATTCTGACCTGTGACCATCCACATCAGAATCGTAGCGTCAACTATATCTCGCTTCCACTGCACACGCAATACATCGTGCCTCCATGACGAATCCAAATCGCTGCTGTGCCTTACCGGTTGTGACGAACCGCAGCTCCCTTTGCTTCAATGCAGCCTCGAACTGAACAGGAGGATGGCCTTGGAATGGAATTCCTGGATGGCATCGCGGACTGTCTCCAGGTACTGCAGCTTGCTGGTCAGCTTTGAGTCCCTAGGGTCTTTCAAACGAAAAAGCTTGCGGGGAATTCACATGGGGCATTGATGTGCTCGATGCACTGGCTTGGATTCTTCTGGTCGAACTTGCAACGGAAACCTGCTTGGTGGCCGAAGCTTTGCCGAAGGTTGGAGCACGGTTCCCAGCCGTGGTCAACAGCCCTATACAGAGAGTAACTTGTAATTCTGCCACGTCAGGAGTGCCATGACGACGCTGTATGACCGTCTTGGGATGCACACCAAATGAGTACATGAGGGTCCGTCGAAGCGAACCTGTGATGTCATGCCACCTTAAGCTGTTTGGACGCTAATCCGGCCACGATGTGCTGAAACCAGCGTGCTGCACGATGACTGACTTATCACGAGTCTGGGCTTGCATCAAGATGTGACTTGCTCGAACCTGTCGGATGCAGAGCCAACTCCAAGGGGTCCCCCAGGGAAAACAAGGGAAAACAGCCCCACGCCAATGCCATCACTGCCAGATACTCCCCACCAGAGTTTGATCGAGGGTCTCGTCAGAGCCCTTCTGAGAGCTGACCTGAGAGAAGCCGCTGGCCGCTGGAAGCACCCTCCAGGAGCTGCTGCGAACGATTGCGCCTTGAACTGCTTGGGTGAAGTTCGCAGCTCCAGGTAGAGGCATCTTTCAGCCTCGTGGGCGAATCCCTCAAGCAAAGCTTACGGAGGCTGAGGTGGAAGCGAGGAACTTGGAGGCTGGGTTCCCATCTTGTACACTTCCAAAAGTTCCCAGTCTCTTCCTCCGATTATTGAACCCCGCCTCCCGTCATGCTAGACTTCGGTCATGCAAACTAATTTTTAGCTCTTTAAAGCACTCGCACTCGACTCTTGTTAAGATTAGGGGTGGTGGCGATCAACCTCTGAACCCTTCTTTTGGCAGGCCTCAGACCCTGCAGTCCTACGTTCCGGCTGCAGTTCTCGCAGTCTTCAAAGGACCCTAAGCTCTGAGAGGCAAAGAAGCTCAACCCATACAATGTAGTACACACTCGCTCTTGCAGTTGTGAGGTTTTCGAGAGAGTTTTGATACAGGTTTAGTGACCTAGAAGTTCCCAACCCTTTACCCCTAGGTGACTCCATAACTGATTAAATGGTACTTCTGACAAGCCCTAACTCTACTGCAGTCGTGGCCCTGTACATTCCGGGCCAGATATTCAAGTTTAAAGCGGTTTCAGAATAATAGGACGAGAGGATCAGCTTTAAAAGACTCTAGCAGACTCTAGCAGTTAGCAGTCGGCAAGATTTTTTTGACTCTGGAGGGAAGCAAATCATCACAACGACTGACAGAGGTTGAACACGTAGTACGTAGATTTGCCTTTCTTTCTGGCGACCTGCTGGAAAGAGACATGAGACACGACTGCAGCAAGATTCCCGCGGTTTTTGCTCCGGCTGCAATCCAGCAACAGCAAAGTGGTCCAGCACATGCAGCGTGCTTTCCTGCCAGGCAGCGTCCAAATTGCCCCAGGTTTCCGCAGGTACAGTCTTATGATGCTAGACGTTGACATGGCAGACAGAAGTCAAGAAACCGCCAGCTGCCGCTCGTCCTTCAAGGCATCCAGGTCGGTTATGACACTGGCGACCTTTCAGCAGGGCACCATCACGTGACTACAGAGAGGGACCCGTGCATCGCAGATGAAAGTCTCCGCATTTCGCGCAGCAACCACGAATGCTTGCAAGTCCCAAGTTGGCCGCGCCTTCGCAAAGTAGTCGAAGCACTTTGCCAGGGCGTTGGAGCGATCCTGGAGCCGGGGCCGTGAAACCGGCAGTGACACAACCCACGCGCACGACAACGCGACGAAGCCGACTCGGGCCCTGGCAGCCTTACAGTTGAAAGGCGTGAAGGCAGCCCCATCACCGCGCCTCTCCAACATCTCAATCCTGAGCGGGAAGCTCTCCTAAACGAAAGCGGCACTCAACACCTGGCAGTGCATGCCAGTGAGCACTCTTCGACAAGGAAGGTGTCGGCTGACTGGATTGGCTCGTCTTTGGAATGCAGAACAAACGAGCTCGAGACTCCGCACTATGTCGGATTCCGGAAGGATGTGCGACCACGCATGTCAACAAGCTGTTTGTGCCTGTTTTACAGTTCTCCACTGGCCACTTGTGCTCGCTTGCGCACGATATCTGAATGGTATGTGGTGTAAGCCGGCCTTTTGCAGCCAAAGATTCAGCTTCTGCTGGGTAATCGAGCCGCTCAAGTGAGCATGCAGTTCCACCTTGGGAAGGCTCCGTATGTCTTCCAGCCTGAGCAATGGAAAGGCAGGACACTGAAGGCACCTCTACTCTACTTTACTGTTTGACCCTTTTTCTATGATACCTGAGACAACTAGGTTCGGTGACGGGTTCAGCACGACGTATCTCCAGGGTCCAACATAGTGTAACATGCCGGTTGGCCAAGACCGCATTGGTTTGCATAGAGCACACATTCGACAAAGCAAGCAAGGAGGCTTCGCACCCCGCAATCAAGGCAACGCAGAATCCAAAGCTCAGCCATGCTCGCCGTATTCCCTCTCGCCGTATTCCCTGCGCCATCCTTTCAGTATGCCGAGCGACGTGAGCGGCTCGAGGTCGCTTTGCGGAGCCATGTCTATCGCACACAAGCTCTCCCGTGTAGTGTGGCTACATCGGGCTGCTGCTTGGCATTGCTTGGCCATCGAAGTCAGATGAGCCGCCCAGTAGACTGCACTACGCACGTGCGCTATTTCAATGGTATTGTTCTGAGGGAAACGTTGTTGACGAGCCTAGCAGATGCATCTGTCTTGCTCCTCAATCAAGAAGAAGTCTTGAATCTTGAATTGAACCGACGACCATCTCCGACGGACAGCCACAAGCCATGGTCATTCTAGGGCAGGATATGACTCGAACCTGGCACACGTAAAGAAGCTGCGACTTTCGATTTTCTAGCGATTCCTTGCACAACGTCATCAGCTAAATGAAGGCAGGCCTGTGCCAGCCGTCTGTAGCTGCACGTGACGGATCTCTAGCTGCTTGTGAACCGGGAGTAGCTGCACGTCTCCAAACTGAATATTGGTGCTCTTTGCTGCCATGCTTCGAGACGAGAGTTTATTCATGAGGCGAGGCCCAGCAGTGCCGAGGGGATGACGATCTAGGGTCGAAATGGGATCGAATAGCGAACAGTTGCTCCGGAAGCCAGTGTTCCGTCCACGGCCTCCAGCCGGTAATGGCCTGACCCAGGAGTGGCCCAGTGGAGTCGTGTGGCAACATCTGGTCGAATGACGACGTCTTCATTTGCACCCCGGTCACGTGCAGCTGCTACGTATGGGAACGTTCCTGGTTTGCGTCTCCTGTGAAACGATGCTGCCGAATTCGCTTGCACAGTGATGCCAACCACCGTGGCACCTAATATCATATGCGAGGCCTGCCGCCCCAGGTAGCTGATCAAACACACACACAGTCATTTCAGAGATGCAACCATCCGCATGGGCCCCTATTATCCTATGGGCTGCCTGCCTCTCTTCAAAGTGACTAAGCGGCGACAGCATGTGATTCAACGCTGCCTCCATGAGCCAGGAAGAATATTCTAGTCACGGCCGCGGCCTTTCTACCACCCAGCCCGCAGAGCTTGTCTGCAGCGCCTGTGGTCTAGTCTGGTTGGTCGCCTGATTCAGTCACAAGGACAGCATTCCTTTCTACAGACTTCTCTCGCTGCCGAGCTCTGCTCAATCGCCTGATTCCGGGACAACTCAACTTGTCTTATCTGGATGCCGACACCCAGAGGCTCCAAGCCTATGGAGGATCCAGGTGATGGATCCAGTGACAGCGTCAGGGGAGCGCTGGAAGACACAGCACTTCACCTCTCTGGACGGTGTCCAGTATTGTACACACGGTGTGTGGATGGCATCCAACAAATTGCGTCGTCTAGCAGCTTGCAGCAGCAAATCCTTCCACGCACGTGTCAGCTTACACTATAGGGCACGGCCCGGAGACTCTATCGTGCGTTCTGCTGCTTGTGGTGGGTTGAAAGCTATGGAAGTAACTCTCCAAATCAATCGATTGTCGGCCGTAGCCTCCACGATGCAGACGGTCCGCTCTCTTCCCATCACAGCTCGCACTCTGCCAAGTGATGAGCACACACGCTCTAGGACACTATGACCAGGATAACAATCGCCTACAATCTGAGCGATGCAAAGCGATGAAAACACTGAATCGCGAATAGTTCACATGTAGGACTGTAGGCCCGAGAACCCAATTCACTTCACTTGGCCATGCTTGCGGAGCGGAGCAGCCTCATGACCCCATGACTCATGAGGATTCAGCCTGTCAAGACGGTGCCATGTGGCTAGTAGCTCCGGCAGGAATCACCGCTTGAAGTCAACAGCAGTCCCGGCCTGCAGCACTTACAGCTGAATGCCCGGCGTGAGACCAACTTTGGGGGTTGGCTTGCCTGAGTCGCGAAATCCTGTGTATAACTCCCCAGTGATGGCGACAGTGGCTGCAGCAAAGGATACCAACATGCTGCAAGTTGCTGCCAGGTTGTGCAGCTTCTCCTGGTTTGGCAATCATCCCCTCAGTGGCAAGGCAGAATCCGCCGAGGCCACAGGCCCAGGTACCCTCCACCTAATCCTCCTCCCAGTCGGAAAGTTTCGCCCAACCCGTGTTTTGTGCTCAGACCAGACCCCGCCGCCCGGCCTTCCCCTGGTATTCCCCTTCCCCCCCCCGCTGACGTGGATCCCCCCACCCTTCCAAGCATCTCGCCCCCCCGTCCCCTCCTCCTCTCCCCTCAGACCTTCTGCATCCGCTCTGCTCTAGGTGAGAGAAGCACGTCGATGAGTTCTGTCACAGTGCTGGTCTCCGGCAAGCCGAGGCGGGCGGCGTAGCATTAAAATTAGGCAAAACTGATACCCTGCTTGAGCCATGAGGAAATCAAGCGTCGGCAGCTATGGCTTAGGACGGCACCGAAGGAAGTCGAGGTGGCAGATTGCCAGCCATTGGACCCGGAGGCAGCCTGGAATAGGACAGTATGACCATGATCAGTCTTGCCCTGCACTGATTTACGTGTTATCTTTGTGATTGGACTCTCGCAACTAGGCTCCCTGTGACTGACGCACTCTGGGAGAAGCCCGGCGAAGTGAAGGTTTGCACACGGGGACAGCTTGAAGGCCGCTTTGCACATGACGTGTATGGCCGCACTTGGGACTTCACTTGCAAGAGCAACAGCAACCTCTGGGTTTCTGTCCGTGCATTTCTGCTGACAGGTGACGGGCCGGGCTGGAGGATACCTCGCGGAGCCTTCGCACAAAACGCTTGAAGCCGAGTCCACGAAAATGTGCCAGGCTCCAGGCGGGATTGCGGTCGCCAGAGCGGTCGCCACCGCCCCTTCCCTTCCCTCGGCCGCCGCCCTTTCCTCCGCCCGGGCCCTTGCCCGGGCCCCCGCCGCTTTCCAGGCCAGGCTCGTCTTCGCCCATGCGTTCGTTCTTGCTGGACTGGTGCTCCATCCTGGCACACGATTTGTAACGTGACGCAGGCCGTAATAAATCGCTATGTCGCAGTGCCTTGCTGGCCGCCCCTTGATCGCGAGGCCCTGTAGCGTCCGAACCTCACTGACTACGAATGAGGCGACCTGACGTAGTCCTGCCGGTTCTGGGGCTCGAGCCGCAAGGTCAACGCACCCTGGGTGCTTGAACTCCGCAAACGCGATGCTGGAATACTTGCCTGGCAATTTAAGGAATTAGATTTCCGTCTGCTGCACAAGAGGAGGAATCCAGCAAAAGCCTTGACGTAGACGTATGCCCAACACCTCACCAGCTGGTTTCAGTGCCTGTGCAGAAGGCACACGGACGGACACACTTCGAGGCAAGCGGGGAGCTGGCATTCTGGTGATTTTTGCAACTCGCGAGTCTGCAAGACCGGGCGAATTAAGGCTCTCGGTCGTATAAGATTGCAATACATACTGACAGGCCCATTCAGTGAAATATCTATTGAAGAATCTTCCTCCAGGCTGTGCTCAACCTAGTGAGGCCACTGCCACAGGTGCAGATCATTCAAAGCTTGCAGAGACGATTGGAGTAGAGGAGAGGCAGCCCATGTGGCAGGTTCAGCAAAGTCATTAAGACATAGTCTGGCTGCCGCTGGTGAGCGTCCTGAATGTAATGTTTGCTGCCAGCTTGCAGCCGCCCGACCGTCTGTGATGAAAGCTGGCAAGCCGTCACCAGCATGGCAAAACAACATCAAAACGAAAGAGCCACCACAAAACACGACATCGACGCCACAAAGCAAACGGCTTGAAGCTTCAGCACTTCCCTTCTGGACGGTTCCATCTCGAAGTTCGCCCTAGTAGACGACTCAGCGGATACTATGCCTTGTAGGCCCCTCGCATGCTTGAGCCGTAGCCGAGGACCCCAAGGCCTCGATCAAATCGTCGCTGGAGACTTCCGTCGAAAGATTCCCGATGAAAAGCCTCAGGAAGACGGTGAGAAACACACAAAAGTGTGCTTTGGCTTGGCTCTCTCATTCCAGGATCCTGCACGGTCATGCAACCGATTATAACCGATTGCTGAGACGATGGCTTATTTGGGCTGTTTCCATATCTCATTTTGCCAACACCTGAGGTCGTGAAACCTGTCTCTCCTGCAACAGCGACAATCGCCAGTAATCACTCAAACCTTGTACAAACCTGGCAATGCTGATTCTGCAAACCGACCATGCTTTCCCACCAGCAGGTGAACGGTCAATGCAAAACTCCAGGTCCTTTATTGTTGGCCTTGCCCTTCCTCAGTTGCGTGTGCAGGTGAATCTAATGTCCGATTGAGAGACCCTCGTGACAAGCACTTGCACTGTGGACCAGCGCAGGATTGCAGACGAAGTCACCCAGGACCCTTCTTTCCCCCGCCTGGCTTGTGTCGCTATCACACCAACAGCTTGTCTGTCTCACGGCCGTGACTGTTTCGTCTGACACAGCCCTGTTGCCGCCTGGATCGCCGCCTTTCCTCAGCATTGGCAACAAGTGCTTGCAAGGATCCAAACATGTTTTGACTACGACCAGGTCCTCGGGTTGCTTTGTAATTCTGCTGTGGCTCTCTGCTCCTTTCGAGCTAGAGCTTGGCCCTGTGCCAACGAAGGCGGCACCTGAAGAGAACTTTACGCAAAGGCCCAGCGCACTGGCAGAACCCTCCGACTCCGACCTTTGTCCCAACTCTCTTTGGAGCCTTTGCCAAAGCCAGGCTTACCTGGCGCATCGGTCTTGAGACACCGTAGTCGCTTCGACGATCGCTACATGAACCATGATTGCCTCCTCCTTTCTGGGGTCCCCCCGGCTGAAAACCGCGCAGCCTGAGCTTGGGCGGTTTCAGTTCTGTCGCAACCTTCACGCTTGCAAACCTGGTGGATCTTCCGAGTCCCGGGCTCTCCCTTACCGGCCACCTGCGCAGGAGAGACATCTGAGAGTGGCGTGGTCTCACCTCTGTACGTCATAGCCAATAGCGAGCTGAGCCAGGCGCAGCCGCGCGTTCGTCTATGAACTCGACGGTTAGTATGCGGCCGTCGATGTTGAAACCGTTCAGCTCGTCCTAGGCTTTTGGCACAGGCGTTCCATGGGACACTCGCCTGGATGAAGCCGGAGAGCGGGAGAACGGCAAGTCTGTGAGACCGAAGGCCGTGAAGAGATGCGGCCGAGTCTCCACGGCCCGACGCGCCTTCGACGGATCTGCCAAGGCCACCAAGGCCATGCCTTTCCCCAGCCTGACAACGTTTTCGGTTGGTCTGTGTCAAGAATTGCTCAAGAACCCCAAAAGCACCAGCACCCTGCCTCTGCATGTCGATCGAGCGAATCTCCAGGCCCTTAAGCCTCACAAGTAGCCCAACTTATCTCGTGCCCCAAGCACGCTTCCTAATTGCATCGCTTATGCGAGAGGCAGGCAAGGATCCGCACAATGTCCAGCACGACTCACAACTACACAGCACTCGCCAGGAGATGCCCGGTCAAAGAAACCCAAACCCAACCCGCAAGTCTAACAGTGCAGGTTGAGGAATGTGTTTTTTTTGAAGCGTAAAGGTCTGTTTGAGATAGCTGGCCACCCGCAATGTTTACAAGGATCCGGCCATGCGGTTCCTGTTTTGGTGCCTGCATGGACTTGATTATAGGAAGAAGTGCTCTGAAGCCGTGCCTGAAGATCTCTCTGATCTGGCCCGGGTTGACCTTAAATCAGACATGTCAAGTGGGAGCACCTGTTTTCATGTGAAGCAGACTTTGTAACGAAGCCTGGGGCCTACACCCCTTGGCCCAGCACGCCGACGCGAAGATCAAAATTGCCGTTCCTGAGCAGACGAGCAGGCAAGTAGCCGTAGACTTCAAACATTGCATCAGCCGTCGCATCTCACCACTACTGCCACCACATCCCTAAGCAAGCCGCAACTCCGAGTTGAAGCCTTTGCCAGCCTGCAGGCAGCGGGAAACTGACACAAGGGCCATGCGGTGTGGCGAGGGCGGCGAGGGCATGCAGTTGCGTTCAAAAGGGCGTCGTGACTCTTCCTGGCCTCGGGCCGCCTTGCGAAACCTCCAAAAAGCAAACTCGCCAAGCCGCGAAGCTTCGAATATCACTCGTACATACTCGCACCTGCATCGAGAGTATTGTGCAAGTCGTCCATGAAGAGCCCGTTGGTCACAGAATTTCCAGCGACATTGTCTTCGCGCGACTGCCTGCAATCACAGTGACCCTGCGTGGCGCGCGACGGAGGGTGAAAGCGGCGGAGGCTTTGCACGCAATAGTTTCCAGGACTCGGGCTGAAATATGCCCAACTCAGGCGACCGCCCACCTCCACCTGATAAACGTGGGGAGGAAGACAAAGGAAGGCTCTCAAGACAGGACATGAAATTTTTGCGGACAGGCCACAGATGCTGGGAGGGAAGTTCAGCGGCCCGGGCCCACCCGGCCCTGAAGGTCCTCCGAGTCTCTTCTCCTCCAGACCTGGCCTTTCCTGATGGAGCTGCAGGCCGGAGAGCTCCTGAAAGTTGTCCGGCAAGTTTGCCTGAAAGGTGTTGGGGCCAGGGAGTGGCCGCATTTGTAGCTGCTGAGACTGCGGTTGTTGCAGTTGCATTTGCATAGGCTGTGCTTGGGGCTGGTCGCCCATTCCGAAACAGCCGGACTGACTCGGTGGTTGGGCCAGCTGCTGTAGGATCAGCTGTTGCTGCTGCAGCAGAAGCTGGTTCTGCTGTGGCTGGCTCTCCTCGCGTGGCTCTAAGGGCTCCCTGGCCAAGTCCTGCATCCAGGGCTGGCGCCCGGTTACCGGGTCCCCTGGGAAGTCTGGGAGCTTGTGGAAGCTCCCAGGCCCAGGTGGATTGCCGGCTTGGCAACTCCTCACAGGGCCTTCGCCGGCTGGTGCCGGCAAAGTGCCGCCCAGAAGCTGGGCACAGAAGGCCCCTAACAACTGTCCAGGCTGCGACTGTGCAGGCATGCCACCCAAAATCGCCATCTGCTGCATCTGCGAGGAGTTGTTGAAGCCTTGCGAGACCTGACCTTCGGCCATCTGACTCACTGGAAGCCCTGAGAGCCGGAGGTTGTCCGATTGGTTCTGAGAAGAGACCCCTGACATGATTCCCAAGCCACCCACGGGCTGTGAGCCATCCGGGTTCCACACCGGGGTCATCACACCCAAATTGGGCATCACTCCGGCACCACCGGCGCCAGGCGCCCCACACTGAGAGCCTCTCTCAGGAGCTTCAGGCCTTTGTGGCATCTGGGAGGGGCCCATGTTTGACAGTGGCAAAGCTTGGGCAAAATTGCCGAATTGGGGCTGCGGGTTCGGGGGAAGCTGGAGACCAAGCCCTGATGTGTAGCCTCCGGGGCTTGACATGAAGGATGCTTGGCCACCCAGGATCGTCATCGGCATGCTTGGGGATGCCTGCAGGTTCAATGCCTGCGGCACCTGGCAAGCCTGCATGCCATCACCATCGAAAGAGTCGCCCCCAGGGAGCTGCTGAAAACTCCGCATGACTCCTAGCAAGATTTGGGCAACACATGCAAGAAGCCAGCATCTGTCAATCTGTCAAGTGATTGAAACCATACAAATCCATGCCAGTACCAACTAAGCTCTTCCCGCTTTCTGGCGAAAGCCTTAGAGACACACGCCTGCGTTGTTCGGGATGCTACTATTCCTCAACTCCTCCAACCCCCTCTGTCTTGGAACAAACGACCATGGTCATATGAGCAACTGCTAGGAAACTTTTCGGACCAAGCCCCAAAGGGGCAGTCCTCGCCGTGCAACTCGTGGGACTGGTTGGTGCCTCTGCCAAGTCCCAATCACACCGCAAACCCGCCGGCCAAGCAGAGAGTCGCGCCTAGTTGCCCGTCCACACGGTCTCGCAACGTGGGTCACGGGCCATTAGCGGCCCCGCTTATGCGGAGAGCACAGCTAGCTTCCTTGAGCTCTAAAGCAGCTGACGGAGAGAACAGACATTCATCACCGCACACGAACGGACAATCTTGGTGCTTCAATGCGCCAAGACGAGATTCCAGTCGGCACGCAATATGTCAGGACTTGTGCTCCTGTCACTGTTCTTGGGTGAAACTGTCACTACACGAGTGCTGCAGCTGTCAGAGATGCTTAGATCCTCCTGCAATGCCGAACACAATGCAAAACCATCCCGAGCGCAAAAACGGGGTGACTGAGACTGGCTACCGGCCTGGCCTTTCAGAAAGCCAGTGAGAGAGCCTGAGGAAGACGTTGGCATCGACTCGCTGCTTCCTCAGTCGGCGTCGGAGGCCGATATGGGAGCTCTTCTGGACCTCTGGGCGCTGCGAGATGCCTTCCCTTTTCCGAGCTGGCGAGCAGATGCTCTGCCTAGGGGGCAGTCAGCCTTGGGCAGAGTGCCCTCCTTGGCTACTAACCGAATCACGTGAGCACACCTTCGGAAGAACCAGTCAAGCATAATCAAGATCTGGAGCCCGCTATGCATACGAGCTTGAGAACGGAGCATCCTGCAGCGCACCCGTGACTCAATCCGAATCTGGCGCTGCGAGACGCACAGCGTCTGAACACCGCCCGCACAGGTTGCGGGTCGAGCCTATGGCACTGAGATCCGAATTATTCGAAAACTCCGACTCCTGGGCATCACCCTTCAGCCGCCAGTCGATCTCTCCCTTTGTGCATTCTTTGCGGCCCCTTCTGAGCGCATGCCCAAAGTCGATGATGCTCTCTGGTTTTCTGATAGCTAGCTTCGAGCAACCTTGCTGGTAAAGGCACACCTCCCGACCAATCCCAGCCTCCAAGTTGAACGAATCTCGTGGGCTTCTGAGGCTGTTCGGAGCAGTGGAGCCTTTTCCCAGCCAAGGTTCCCTCGGAACAAAAGAATTGGCTGTGCAGTGCAAGAGCAGCAATGTTATCGACCTCTCTTGCCACCGCATCTTGCACAAGGGCGTCTCAGCGCCCAGAACTCTGGGCTCTGCGGGCGTTGGCCGCGGCATTGCCACTACTACGACGAGGTCAGCATATCCTCGCAATCCTGTATGCAGATCCGAAACCAAAGGGGAACACGGGCTCGAATCCGGCAACATGGACAGTCGTGAGGTCCTGAGCTTGTCTTGTCTCTTCTTCCCTTGAACCCCTTCTGAATCCTGCCGTGACTGTACACTCGGCCCGTGGCAAGGACGCGCCGTTGTAAACAGTTGCATGCACGCGAGGAAAACATCGGAAAACCGCGATCAAAATATTGCAAATCATTAAATGTTGATTGAAAGGAACACGTGTATCCTGCATGTCTCTCACCTCAAACTCTTGGCCTCAGTAAAGAATCACACGAGAAGTGCATGGCTCAAGGTGCGTTTAATCGGATGGACCCGCTGTAACCGGACTGGATCTGCACAGGTTTATGGTTGAGATGTGCGAAGACAAGTGGTCGAAGCTTTTCGGCAAACTTTGCGCACCCAGCTCCACCGAACCTCATAGTGTACAGATGCCGTGTACATGTATGCTCCTTGGTTGTTACGGCATGAGTCTGAGTCTAGCATGGGGCCGATGCACAAGAAGTCTGAAAAACATAAACCGCCCCGAATCCGAAGAAGCCGCATTGTCAACGACAGCAAGTCTGTGAGTCCAGAGCATTTGCCAAATCGGTGTGGGACATACTTCTCCTGTTGCTGCTCTCACACCTGCCATGATCAGGCATCACACTGGCAGCTTCGTCCCGGAACTGGAACAAAGACAGCAGAGACAGCTGCAGGTCCTCTATGCATGCAGTCTCATGAGCCGTGCTTCATGACACTGTTTACAATTTGCGTTCACGTTGAGCCAGCAGCGAAAGCAAGGCCGTCAACCCCGAACCGAGGCATAAGATGCCAGGAGCACACTGAGTCGTCCTTACGCCCTGTTGCACGAAGTCCGTGATCGTGGAGCACTTCTCTTGAAATGCCGAAACCTCGCCATGGGCGTGAGAACTTCCAGCTTCGCTCAGGGGCCCCCCGGGCCCTACCCGGGCCTTTCGTGTTGTCCGGTTGTCTCACAGATGAGGCCACGCTACTGGCACCATCGTCGTCCTCGCCCTGCTCCTGGACTCCATCAGTTGGCAGGAGCACCCCCCCATGCAGAGAGCAAGGTCAAAGCCAAGTCCTCCTCTCTGTCAACCAGCCTCAGCATGTGCCAGTGTCAATGACGAAACCCTGTCCGCACACAGGCATTCTCCTTGGGAGGGGCTGTGAACAGCCCCAATCCCCTGAGGTAGTTTAACCAATGTGTTGCAATTCCAGTGGTGGCAACCGGGGCAAGAACGCAATGGAGGGAACGCGCTTCATGCCGAACCCCGCGTTGGCCGGGGACCTGGGTGGAACTGCGAACAGCACCGACGGTAGGTCAGGGACAATGCGAGGATGATCTAAAGATGTCTTCCATGGCTTCTGCTATCATTGCCGAGAATGCACAAACACCGAGGTTCGTTCCCTTGATCCGAATCGTCGGAGGTTGGCGGGTTGGGCTCCTTTGGCAACCCAAAGGCAGGGGCATCACGTGGACTTTTGTCAGCTCGGTCCTGCTCCGGCTGCTCCATCTGCTCCATGCAGCAGGGCTCATCTTCGACCTCCTCACAAAGGCACAGAACTGGACGTGCTTTGAGCTGGCCGTCGCTCGAACCTCCTGCAACTTCTTCGAGAGTTTGATCTCCTTGCCTTGATTGGGCTGATGGATGCTCGAACTGGCAATGCATTCAACGCATGCGGCGGCCTGCCCTGCAGCGTTATCTGAGACATGGGCAAACATCCACGTGATCTCTCTCTGCACGCTGGACTGAATATTCCACCTGATCTTGCATGCAGCAGTAGAGAACTCAACCGACCATAAGCACGAACAAGCAAAGCGACAGGCCAAGTGCAGGTAAGGTGCATCACTTTTCGAAATTTTTCTGGCCACTTCCGAAAGTTTTACCTGGCAGGTGAAGTCTGGGGAAGTTACGATGCAGCACCATCGAACCTTACAGCATTGCACTTGCAGCCGAGACACATCATCTAGTTGGAAGCTGGGGGCCCAGTTCGCTTCTCGTCTCTGCCTGGGGGCAAGGTATCGAGTGCTGCGCGCAGTCGTCACAACTTTCACTCTCAGGGCTTGTTTCGTCCGCCAGTTGTCCAAACCAGAAAACTTGATGCCCAACAGGCCCAACATAATGCCAACATACCTCTTCGACTCGCACACTCGGTCTAGGCAGGAACGGACGCAGGCGAAGAGGTCCAACCACATCAAGCTTGCTACAGCGACATGCGAGCCACAAACAACAGGTATACCGCGGCATACCATCAACATCAACAGCAGAAGAACCCAGAACCCCCTAAGCTCACTCGATTCGGGTCAAGCGTTGGGGAAAAGCGACTATTCGTGGCCATCTCAAGCATCAAGTTGTGGGACTAGGAAACCCCTGCAAGCACGAGTGGCTGCCTTGACTGTTCATTAACCACTGAAGCCAGGTATGCTCGCCTGGGCTGCAAGCGTTGCGGTGCGGACTTTCAAAAGCGCGTTCAGCCCAAATCAAAGCAAAGTGAGCCACCGTAGATCATGCCAAGCAGCGTGTTGTTCTGACCTCGGTCGACTGCAATCACAGTCACCCATCAGCAATCAAGCAATGTCGGCCATGTTTTTGCCCGTGTGACTGAGCAGCCTACGGAGCTTTATACGTCCCAGTCCCAGTCCTCGTCTTGATTCTTGGCGCAATGTAGGATCCTGCCACGGAATGCGGCTGTGCACCATTTTGAGATGCAGCCCCGCAGAAATACAACGTGACAATCTACCGAAGAGAATCCAGGACTTCAGACATGGCTTGCCTGCATCTGATGGGGCGGCTGAATGACTTTTGTTTTTGATTCACGTGCAGTCATTGCAGATACTGCCAGGGCTCGCTACCAATTGAAAGTGACTCGCTGTTTCCGCTTCGCCCATGCTGGAAAGCTCTGCCGGCAAACTGACTCATGGCGTGCAAGCCGGTAGGAATGAATCCATCGCCGATGCATCTAAGCGTTGTCAAAAGATTGAAAACTGCTTGTGTTTCAGTCCTCATGCACAGGCAGATACAATAAAGAAACCAAGATTGGTAAGTCGAACTGAGATGTCTTGGCCTGAATGTCCCAGGAACCACTGGCCTGTGCGCAGGGCTTCACAAGTTGGCCGATTCTAAACAGTCGGTGCTCGAGATTGTGCCCTGGTCGTTCGGGTACTCAGCGTGCGGCTCGAAGACGCTGATGTTTGACAGCCTCCTGGGTATGGCCGGTCGATGGATGGCAGTCAATGAAGCCATCCAAGCTGCAAAACTGCCCCTAACATGCAAACTTGGACTACTGACAGAACGCTCTCCGAGCCGAGGCACTTTGTACTCGTTTGCAAGGGCCAAGCGTACCTTCAGGAACTCTGCAAAGTCCTGCCAGCAACACGAGAGGACCACTACAAACCACTGGAGCCTAAGGGTTGCTGGGCACTGCGTTCTATCCTCCGGCACCTTTTCACCATGTTGTGCGGTGTCAGGTTTGTAGGACTTTGTACAAAGGCCCGGGGGCCAGCTGACCTCGTGGGTCATCGCGATATTCTTGAGCTGCCCGCTGCAGCTGCTGCTCCCGGCTCGTAGGATCTTCAAAGCGGATCCGTCGGCCGTGTCCGGGCAGGATCCACAGCACGTCCTCACCCTTCAGCTTCAACATGGAATCTGCCTGTAGCTCGGTGTCTTCGGAGTAGCGTGCGAAACCATCCAATCGGCCAAGGCGGCTATTCAGTGCTAGGTGGTCACCGGTAAAGGCCACCCCATCCCCACCAGTTCTTGATCCTTCAGCAATGAGAGTTATGGAGCCTGCGCTATGGCCTGGCGTGTAAACTACCTTCAGGCCCTCCGCCAAAGTCCATGGCCCGGCACCCTCCAGCTGCATTTCTACTCCAGTCATGTCAATGTAGGGCCAAGACAATGGCCCACGCACATCCTGCTTGTGCATTACACGGGTCATTCCAGGGAAGTGCTCCTTCCAACGTTCATGATCGGCTACATCGTCCTTGTGACTTAGTACCATGAGATGAACGCCACCCGCGGCTTCAAGAACTTTCGCCAGCCGAGAGGAGTAGCGCGGCGAGTCGTACATTACATTGAAGGGACTCCCACTCGCTCCTGAGTCTGAGGCCAAAAAATAACTCGCCGCACCAAAGCTTTTGGAGCTGTGGTACCCGAGATGAAACACCCGAGGCAATTGCTCATTTACAAGGATTGGGAAAGTGTCGAGCACCTCCTTGGTCTTGGAAAGAGGCTCAGTAGTGCGAATGCTACCAGTGGGGCACGAGATCATCGCCTGGAGTGCGGAATCCATGTCCTCCGGTTTTTCGGGCTGCTGGTGAACGTAGCTTTGGCCGCCATAGGCCTGCGTTGTTCTTCCAAATGTTTCGGGAGCCATCCATCGACAAGTGTCACAGTCGATGCAAGTGTGGTCCACATAGAAGGTGCCTTCAGCATTGGCCGGATGCCTTTGCTTGGCTGCGATGGCAAGGCATCGAACAGAACAAGAGCGTCGCCACGGCTTTGTGGCCTCATATCTCGGCGTCACAAAAGGAAGCTGGCTGACCAGACATAAAGACAAGAAACCCACGCAGGCAAGGCACGCCATCGATGCCAGCTTTTTCATGTCTACACGAGCTCGGCTATTTGTAAACATTGCTCGGTGTCTAAGCTAGGCGACAGCTTGATCCGACGTGCGATCAGCCCACAAGAAACAGAGCACACGAGATCGGATCAAATCTGACCCTGACTAAATGCCAATCCCTGCCCCGTTGCACCTCTTGTGACCACCACAAGTCCCTTTTCAAGTCCTCGGTTGCTGCAACTTCGCTGACTCTGCTGTGCAGTGCCAAGGCCATTCTGAGCAGACCCTTGGGTCAGCTGTGAGCAACTCGGCGTCTGGATTGCAGCCGTGCAGCTGTTTCCCCCAGGTGAGGCACCTCTCGCGTGCAAGGGCGATCTGTGCAGTTGCCCCAACAGCAACACATGCATCGACCCAGCTGTTCGATTGAGCTGACAGCCTGCGAGACGGACACGGTCGCTTTGAAGCTAATGGTCCTATCCTCGGTGCATGTGAACTCCTGTACCAGATCCCAGTGCGTGGACACCACTTCGGACTCTGCTCGTGCTGGCGTGCTGGCGCAAAGCGAGCGAGCATGTAAGGGCCCCACGCTTTCTGTCCGTAGGGTATCTGTCCGCTGATACTGAATCCGTTGCCTCCGGCACAGGGAAAGGAGAAGCAGATCATGCGCCATGCCAATGCAAGCGTGGGCGGGCCCGGTGGGCCCGGTGGGCGGTTGGCGGATCTGCAACTCGTCCGCATTGAACCTCGGAGCACATGAGGTGCCCCGGGCAGTCCACACTACACTACCCTGAATGCCAATGTGGCGGCTGTCCCTACGCACTGACGTTGAGTCATGTGATGCAACTGACTGCCCAGCTGAACTATTTCAGGCGGCTATCACTTGCACGTTTGCGCGAGAATCTCTGGTCCGATGGTTGGCTGATTCGCAGATGCGTAGCCCATTCATCGGGAAGCATGAGATCGGTTTAATTCCTCTGAGCTCTAGACTCTAGCGACTCTAGCCTCTGAGCATCCTTGGCCGGTCCTTGCCAACCCGTACAATACCGGAACAAACAGTAACTTCTCCAACTCTCAATGCGGCGTGGGTGCGACGACGCCAACACAGCGCCAGGAAGCGCGTCGGCAGCCCTTGAATGTGACAGATTGATCTCCCCATCGGCTTATAGAGTTGCTGTGATTTGGTTGTGCGCCCTGATTTGTTCTGCCACAGGGCATACAGCACAAGCAGCTGCCGCAACTCATGTCAAATGGGGGTCGCCGCTCTCGGGAAGTCTCGGATCTACACAGGAAGATCAAGAATTGAACAGAACCTTCTGCATCACAACTCTGGCACGGCAACCCGTAATTCAGAAGGGTTTTGCCCTCGAGCACTGCTGTGAAAACCATAAACAAGCCAGCTGGCACGACCCGCAATGAAATCTTTCAATCCAAGGCCAACCACTGCAACCAACGAACCGCGAACCACGAAATCTTGCTACTGGACGTGACATGGCGTTAGGCAGCAGGTGATGCAAAGGCCTCTGGGTCCAACTGCGATTGTGCAGCTCCTGAGAACGTGCAGAGGGTACGAAACTCTCAAAAGCTGCACCAACCTGGCTTTGCTGTAGTCCGTGGTCTGCGCAACAAATGTAGTCTTCCATGCAGTCTTTCTCTACTTCATGCTCTACAGCATAATAACGCGCTCTATGCTACAGTAGTTCTAGAGGTTCCCAAGTATAGTGCCGCAGAGGAAACCCTATCACCATTTCGGGCGTCTGCAGGCAATCCGACACGTTTCCCATGGTTGCCTCCCCCCCCGATCTAGGCCGCGCCGAGGCGGACGACACCAAGCGTCTGCAATCCTGCTATCCTGACTCCCGGTTATCCATTGTCATCCATCCAGGCATCCTCCATCCATGCATGCACGCACGAATACACACATACATGCAATCCGTGATGCATGCATACAACACATTCAATATTCACACTACAGGTAATGTATGAGACAGTATACATAACACACACCCAGGGCATGCCCGCACGCATATGCATACATATGCACCTACATAAATTGGGGCATACATGCATACATACATAGAACGTTACAACTAGACGCATTAGATGCCCATGCGTACAGACAGTGACAGACAAACAGACAGACAGTTACAACAACATTTTAGCACTCGCGCTCGAAAGGCCCAGGCGAGGTTTACGAGGACATACAAACATGATCATACATCACACATACAGACACACATACATACACACATACGTACATACATCTACGGATACGTACATGCATACATTCGTAAAAATTCTAAAATTACAGACAGACTAAACACCCACCCACCCACCCACCCACCCACCCACCCACAGACACAAGTACATACAGACTTACTTGCTGACACCTGGGTACCTAAGTGCATACATGCATAAGTTTCAAATTCATAGATCTTTTTGTCAGGAAACTTACGGTTTTTTTGCCCAGGCCTCCCAAGTGATCTGTCCATCAGATCGCAGAATGATGAACTTGAATTCGCAGCCAAGGAGAGCCTCCGGCTGTTATGAAATCGCTCCATACTACCAAGCCAGCATCACAATGTGCGACTTAGTTCCCTGCTGCCGGTGTCGGGGCAGCCTGAGTCATCAAGTCATGTGCCCATTCATGGTCTGTGACACATTGAGAAAGTGAAAAAGGTGCTGGCTGTACATCATGCACAGCTTCGAACCAATCGAAAAGTAAGCGCATGACCCAGATTGGAAAAGTGGCGGCTGATGTTTCAAGTCGGATTGCCTTGCCTTGGCTGCCAAAACATAGCGGCTGCAGCGTTGGTTTGCTGAATGTCGCCTGCCGGCCGGAGCTATCCCCACAGAAGCTCCAACTTGTGATGCACGTGCGGCCGTTGCATCAAGCCGACGCTTCTGCTGGCGAGATGCTGGGGTTCCAATCCCCAAGTTCGGGGCTGCCCCCAACAACAGCGAGCCTCAGCCCATCTCTCTACTGCTTCTGTGCAGCGTCTTTGCTTGCTGGGACATTGTCGTGCTGCAACTGCCAACAAGCATGGTGGTGGCCTGGGCACCTGGCTGATCCCCTATACCAGTGGAGCCACATTCTACTTCTACACGGTAAGCCATGACACCGAGAAGCCTGCAGGCAAGCATGGCAGTAACAATTGCACTTCCGATAGATCTGCTGTACAGGCTCCATGTCGCAGGAACATGTCAGCGCCAGTCTCACTGCAGCTGAAAACTACGTCTGGCCTCCTTCTCTGACGTGACAAAGCTCTCGTGGATGGCTTGAACCGGCATGGGCAGGTGTTGGACGACTCGTCATCAGAACATGAGTGGACCCTTCCATCAAGTGCTGCCTGCATGCTCGCTTGATGTACGGGGAACTCAGCTCCTAGACTAATAAAGGCACAAGCTGAAACGCTGAGTGTCGCACATCTCAGCTATGCGCCACTGCCTGGCTAGGTGCCCTGTCGAGGCGCAGCAACACGCAAAGACGGAGGCGCGGCAGCTGCACAATGGTCGAGCCTTGTAGCACGTACAACCTCAGATTGGGATGACATGGTCTGTGCAAAGTACCGATGGGGCTACCACCAGTCACCCCATCTCCATTTCTACGGCTGCGTTGCTTGGCACTGTACCACTACGCCCCCCGACCGGATTTTGAATTGCTGAAACTATCCTGAGGACAACGATGATTTGAATCATCATGGGGTCGGTGACTATGAACGATCTGAACTGACGGGTGGATGACTGCATGCCTGCCTGCCCAAACACTCATGCGATTTGAAAACACAGGTTCCGCCAGGCCGGCGGCTTTAGGATTCTTGGCTGCGCCCTCTGAGATAGAAGACGGGTCTATGGCATGGCCGCCAGCACGGGACTATGTGGTTCTACGGTCTGAGTTCTGGCCGCCCCATTCCTTCAAAGAATCACACAAAAAACACACAATCTGGAGCCTTAAGCGCACGTTGGTTCAGAGGGGATCCTGTTCTAGAGGGCGTGGGGACCCGCGGAGCTCAAAGCCCAAGCAGTTCTAGAGGGGAGGGGTTGATCACCCGCAGAACCATTTGGGGGAGGCCTAAACTAAACCACCCAACCAAGCGAAAGTGATAATCAAATGTGGGGAGATACCATTGGAGGGGTAGGGGGCAGCGGGGGGGTGCCCGCCGAGGTCCGTCTAGACCCAGCGCGCCAGACATCCTGATCCGCGGCTGCATTCGTTCGTTCGCTGTTCTGCGTCCGGCACCACGTATCAGATTTGTCGCATGCCCTTTGCTTGCCGGCGTTCCCGCTGGGTCGGTGTCTGCTTCTGTTCTTTCGCACGGCATGATAGGGCTAATCGTAGGCCATAGCTGCGCATCCACCCTTCGCTGGGTTGTCACTGCAACGATCCAGGCATTGGTGCTGATGCTTCTAGCCGGGCACGAATCCAGCAGGGCTGCGAAGAAGTACAACAAGTGAGAACTCGAGTGTTCGGATGCGCAGACCGTATGGAGTTCAAGTCGTCGTGGTATCAGCCTGTGTGGGCCGAAGGAGCGACAACCGCCCTTGCGAATACTTCCACCGCAATTGCCAGTCGAGCTGCCCGATTCCCAGGGCACTGAAGATGCAGAGACGGTTCCTCAGACACCCCAGGAACCCCGGCTTTCCAGCAACGAAATGAATTCACTAAGAACCTGTCCAAGGCGACGCAAAGAACTGGAAAACACCCTGGTTCAAGCTCATGGGGCAGCTCCAACGGCAAGGCCTATAATTTCGTTGCCTCCAGGAACGTCGCTGGCTCTCGAGGGGGTGGGGGCGGGCTTGGCGGCGCAGGATGGGGAGCCACTGTGTGCTGCTCCACCTTCGCCTGCACGCGAAGGAGAAAGGCTTGACCAGGTTGACGTGACATAATTTTCTACTGCAGCTTCCAGCCTGGGCATTGTTGTTGATGATGAACTGCATCGGTCTAGCCTGACAGTCTTTCGACGCAACAGAAGTGCTTCCTCACAACCGGGGATGTGACGGCAGTGTCTTGCATCGCGGAGAAGGCAGCAGACCTGGCCCAAACAAAAAAGTGCAAACCAGCTCTGGCATCAAGCAACCACAAAGAGCCCAGTGCACATCTCCTCTCTGATGACATCGCGGAACTGCCCCCAGGGAGCAACCTGAGGCTGAAAACGCGGCTCCGGAACCCAGGACGCCCAGACAACCCCGAAGCCCCGACGGAGGAACGCTCGTCGGCTCTCCGCTCCACGACCTGCGCTGCCTGCGCTGCCTGCGCAGCGGGAGCGGCAGTAGGACCGGCCTGCGACAGCGTGGCAGCGGTAGCGAAAGCCAGCCGTTGAAGATTCAGCTCTCCTGGCCTCCTCTCGCAGCTTCACTGCCAGGCTGTCCGCAAACCGCTGCATTGTCGGCAGCCGCCTAATTCTGAGAAGAGTTCAGTGTTCAGTGGCTTCATTCAGGGCATGGCATCCTCGATGACAACACCATGGAAGCTTGCACTTTGCGGTCTGAGCTTCGCCCCCAAAGGGCCACTGTACATGGTATCTGGACCTGGTGCCACCTGCAACGCAGGCTCCGGGCGCAAGCACGCAGTGCTCGGCCTCCCCACACCCGCCTCGGTAACGGCCTCCTTCTCTCATCCCATAGCTACGAACAAACGGCTTTAGGCACGCATGGTGAGATTATAACAGCTTCGTCGACCCGGACGATCAGTCCATAGCAGGAACGCTGTGAAGAGCACGCAGCAGAGCTTTCTCACATCAGCCACATCTACCAAAGCTCATGCCAGCCTCCAAGCAGCAACTGGCCAGCAAGCAAGTGTGGGCTGCTACTTCATAACAAGCAGGAGCCGCAGCAGTTAGATCGCCAACCTCGGCTATTACTGGCACCTTGCCCTCTGCAGCTTCCTGGTCCGTTGCTGGCGTGCCAGCGGCATGAAGAGAACATGTAAAACAGATCAACGATGCAATGCGCCGCGCACTTCTGCGCTGCTGAATTGAGAGCTAATGAAGCAGTACCTCGTGTGATGTAGTGGCATGCCAAGGAGATTCCTGAGATGTTGGATTGAGTCATCTACCTAGGACTCTAAAACCTAGGATTCATCATGGATCTTCGTCTCTGTAAGTCTCTGGGAGTCTCCAAATTCCTACAGTGGCAGGGTTTTCCTGCAAAGATGCTCAGGCATGCAGCTGGCTTCTTCAGGCTCACGGTCATGAAGCCCAAGTTCGGCAACTTTGGAACGGCCATCCAGTGGTACGTAGATCGGCGAGACAGCTCGAGCTCTGATTCTTCCTCACAGAATGATTCGCTCCTCGTGCTGGAGGACCTGGAAAGTCAGGTTTCTATGGGAATCGCAGGATTGACTCGCTCGATGCTCTCCGCATAAGGCTGCAGCCCAACACTGCTTGTAGTGCCGCCTAGTGACCTCAGCGACCCGCGCGCCCTTTCAACCGTTAGACGAACAACAACTGGCAGAAGCTCCGCGAGCAGGAAGCCTTATAGGTTTCCGACGCTGACAGATCGAGACCTTCCCAGCCGAGCAGTGGAGTAAACCTCAAGCAGCTGAAGACGAGTCACTAGGAAAAACAAGGCGACTCGTCAAGCGAATCTATTGCACATAACTCATGTAATTATTTACAAATGAAAGAATCTTGGGTGTATGGGCTTTTAGGGCACATGATGCGGCGCATGCCATGCGCTTTCTGCGTCCTGGCGGGTACAGGACATATGTGATATGGTCAGGGTAGCCGAGGCAAGCCACTGTCTCTGCTAAGTCCTAACAGTTGTTTCGAATTTCGCTTGCAACAGAAGCAGGAAGCTGGTTGAAACTAGGTGCCGAATTTGCAGGGTCGAGACAACAAGTACGCACTGCACAAAAGCGTTGCTAAACACCCTGCCCACCGAAGGTCCCGTACGTGATTTTCACGTGGCGCCTTGCCGGAATTGGTAAACGACAACTCCTACAAGCTCCCAGAGCTAGCTCTCGTGATCAGTATTCAAGAGTCCGAGATGTCAGCAATCCATCTGCTTCCTCTAGAACCAGAATGCCGAGTCGGCGGCTGGATGTGATGGCGACAACGCGATGCCCGCAATTGGAATTACCGGCAACGTGGCCTCAAGGAAGTGGGCGAAGGGTCGAGAACTGCAAGGGACAAGAGACACTGAGACCCTCACTCGGGTAGCCAGAACCGGGCTGCGGGTTCCGTCAGAAGCAAATCGCGTGACCTTTAAGAACTCATGAGCACAAGCACGAGGCGCAGATCTGCAAGTGCCGACACGATCCAGCACGCCCGTGGGCTCCGCACCCGCGTCCGCGTAACAGGGCTCCACATCGGAGACACAGGACAGGATGGAGACCAGGCTGTCTTGGCAAGGGGAAACCGCACTCCACCACAGGCACTCCACTTCGCCTACTAGTGGGGGGCCGAAGCTTCAAGGGCCGAGCCGGAGATGTCGCCGCCACGGGGCTTTGAGCCCGACCATCCAAGCTTACGACCTCTGGAGCACGGCCAAACTCTGACGGCCCTGGCCATGCCTGTCGCTTGGGCACCAACTCTCGAGACTGGGCTGCTGGTCACGGTGATGCTTTGGCAGGTCTGAGGCTGAGATCTTTCCATGCTGTCTGCTCTCACACGGTCCTCACCTCTGTGGGCGTACATGCTGTACTCGCCGACATGCAAGTACCCTGAGGTACGGCAAGGGCTTCGCGCACTCCAGCAACTGCAGTTACCACAGATTTCTTTCTGCACGTGGGTATGGCCGCATGGCCACTGGGTCGCTGGCATTCATGTTCCGAGCAACAGGCTCAGAGGGTGAAGACGATGCGGACAGAGGCATCCACCTGAGCTTCGGGGCGTGGACTTTTTCCTAAGACTCGCCAGCTTGTGCCTCGAGCTCGCCGAGTTGGGGGTTGCGGCGCTTGCGGACTTGGCTGGCGCATCACCTCGAGTGCTTTCAAGAACTGATAACTGCTTACTGCTTACTACCCGAGACGTGTAAGCCATGTCGCATGGAGATGACTGCGCATTCCTCCCCGCAGGCATGGCATCGTCGTGTTCTTTGGCAGCCTTATGTTCGGAAAATGGCAACGGCATGCCTCGCATGTCTTGCATGAATTTTGTGACGTGAACGTGTCTTTGCTGGTGGAGAGGTCGAGGTCCACAACACCGGGCAGCATGCTTTATCGTTCCTGTTCCGTCGTGGGATCCGTGATCAAGAATGACATCGTTTCATGACTTTGCTTTGTGGTGTTTAGGCACGCTCTCTTCAAGGGCTTGCTCATGGAACACGTGAAAGCAGTATTCTCCTTGCCTTGCCAAGGATCTTGGAGCATTTGCTGGCTAACAGCCAGCAAGCTCTTTCGGGCCTCCGCAATCAGCACCTCATGGCTAATCGGCGCCTCCATATGAACACTTGCAAAGACGTCCAATATCTTTTGGCCAACTCAAAACGAAGGAAAACGCTCGGCCTCAGGGAAGTCCTTCTCCTGTGCCAAGCTTACCAAATCGTAGCCTTGGTTTCTTGCGACCAGCCACATCTCAAGGAGAACAAAGCTCTGAAGCAACATTCAGCATGTGACTTTTCACCCCGCACTGAAAAACCTCAACGCTTAGACTTGTTCCAGCCCCTGCATCATGAGGACACTCATTCCTCACCGATCAAACTCAATCACTCAGTAACCGCCCAAGCAGTGAATGCCAGGGCATCCAGGCAGCAGAGTTGGCGCAAAGACTCGTTCTCGTGACGGGCCGTGGCAAGAGCTTCGTCAACACATTCCATCGGGTGTCCCTCTGATACAGGGTCGCCTTGCAGAGCTGCCAGCTGACTGCTGCACTTACCCTTTGCTTCATCCGCTGGAAGGATCGATGCACCTTCAGGTACGGGCGCGATGGTCAAGCTGTTGCAGGAGCCGAAGCCATCCTCTCTCACACATACAAACACACGCACGTGCAAAACAACGAAAAAGCTCACTGCCGTCACCACAACCACCATCTGCCAATCTGCCGCCGCGAGTACTGCCAACTTAAGCGGCCGTTTTATGCAGCAGCAGAAGCAGCAACAACAACAACAACGAACTTACTGCTACTGCTATTGCATTCGTGATAACCGCCAAATTAAAAAATAACGAGACCAAACATGATCACCTCGGTGATATTCACCCTAATCACAGAAGCTTCTCCGAGCAGTGAACCTCCTGAAGCGTTGCTAATTGGGTAAGCCTAATTCTAACATCTTGCAAATGTGGGACCTGCTGTATCGTCCCGTGATAATGGCAAGAATCATAGCAACACGAGCAGCAACATGCAGCAACAGCATCCACAAGGACCAGACAAAACCAGGGGACGCATAAAGCTGTGAAATCTGCTTCATGTCCGCACCACAAGGAAAACTAAATGTCAACGCACAACTTTCGAACTGCTGTCTCGTGTAAGGTGGTGCAAGCAGAAGCAGGCTTTCGTCGGTTGTTTGGCGTGGGGGTTTACGCGTTCCAAACAGGAGCTGCATCATCACCACCACCGCCACCACCGAACAAGAAGAAGGGGCAGTGCGTTGACATTAAGACGACAAGAACACGCGCCCGACCGTTGCGCTTTGTCCTTGAAGACCGGCCAAGTGCTTGGGTCCAGCGACGCAAGGCCCCAGGAATCCTTCGTGATCCGACTCGCTCTTGGAGTGTCTGATGGACCTGTCGCCAGACCATGGCAAGAAGCGTCAAAAAAGGCGCCTGCTAGCAGAGGAAGCGAGTCGAGAGCGGCTGGAAGGGGACGCTGCCTTGAAGCCCTTGTGCCGCTTGAAGCTCTGCTGGCTCTAATTGAGTCTTCTCCATGGCCACAGGAGTCAGCCTCGCAGCATCGCTTTTGCTCGTGCAGAAGGGCTCCAGAGCTTAGTGCATCTGCCATATCAAGAGCCGGGACGAGACCGAGCAGCGAGAGCGACAGTTGCGTCTGTGTAGTGGCATCCTTTCGTGCTGCACTTCGCACCCTGTGGAGTGCTTGAGAAGGACTACTCTTGGCCTTAGCTTGTGCCACACGTCGCAGACAGGCAAAACATCGCAATATCCAGATGCAAACAAGTGCTGCCGGGATGCCTTCGGAACGTACCGACTCCCAGCAGATCGCCCTGAATCTCGAGAAGTCCGAACGGAGACTCCACTGCCTTCCACCACAAACTATCGGACATACTGAACTTCTAGTGCACTTAAATTGAGTAAAGCCAAGCCTTGTGTTCGCACGTAGGGAGCATGTTGCGCCATGGCAAGACGCGATCCCGCTGAGAAAGGCGTGAGCTCCGAATTCGAGGCGAGGAGAGCGGATATGCCAGGCCAAGCTCCCTGAAAAGTTCTCCGAACTCAGATGCCGGATCTCACGGAAAGTCTTAAGACTTAAGAGCAGTGCACCTCGCTTTTTCGGGCGCGGCGAGTAGGGCCAGGCGCGGGTGCAGGTTTTTGATGCCAGCAGAAGAGACCTTGCAAGAAGAGCTGACGCCTTCTCCGAGCCGGCTGTGCTGGAAACTTCGGTGTCACAGTGCGGGGAAGGAGCCGTCTCGGTGCATTGCCTACTTGCTTGTGGCATGACGAGCACCGTCATGTAACGGTGTGGCATGCTGTCCAACAGCCAAAACGATGCTCTACTGCCCCTCCCACGCTCGCTTCGCAGGTACTTCTCTTTGGTTGGCTTAGTTTCGCTGCTAGGAGTGTGCGAGGGGTGAAACTCTGCCAAGCACTGGAGCGACAGCATGATGCGGAAGCCGTGAAAAACTGAGCACGGGCTTCGTTTGTCATGTCTTTGCCATACATGCTGCCGTCTCGTACAGGTTTTGCCCACGAATTCTGCACATGACAACTGGATCTTGGTGGCAATTGATCAGCTCACAACTTAGATCCCCAAAGCTGCCCTTTGCGCAAGAGCCTGGCATGGATTGATGCACCCAAGGACAAGGCTGCATCAGCAAAAACAGCTACATGCATACATGCATACATACACCTATCGATGCATGCATGCAATACGTACCGACTCAGACACAACACAAACACTGAGGTCTAGTGAAGAAGTGGCCGCTTCCCCAGCTGAACCTGCCACTGAGTCCTCTAGGCAAAAAGGGGTTTACCGCACAACATGAGTTGTCCCTGTACACATGAGAGGGTAAAGTCAAACGGAGCAAGACACAATATTGAACGGCTTAAAAAGGATTCCCATGCGTTCACTAGAAGGAAGTACCTACGACTGGGCCCAAACTTAAAACATGTTTTTATCTCCCATATCTCTCCCTCCTTCTCCCAGCATTGCCCACTTCCACCTCTGGTTTGCGCAATACGTGTGTAACTACGGGGAGCATAGTGTCTCGGCACCGCCATACCGTTGCCTGGATCTCGCCAACTGCCTGCAAAGGTGTTTGATACTGTCTGCAGCGTTCTCATTTCAAGCCGGCCTTTCGACCGAGGGCGGCAATGTCAGGATCTCCCATCTTCATTGCGTTGCCCACCTGCCGTCCGACACTGTCCCACCATCTTGGTTGGTACTTCTGGTCACGCAGTTCTCGGCACAGCGCGGGTTACACAACTTAGTGCACGACGTCTTTTCCAACTTTGCAGGTCTTCACAGCATCATAGGTCACCTTGCTCTCCTGCAGGGGGCCGCGCTTACCACAGGTGCTCACCTTACCTTGCAAAGCTTCGGTATTTCTCGAATTGCTGCAGCAAAGACTGAGGCAGTCATGTTCAGCCATCCACGGAAGAACGGCACCCGCTGGTCCTTGAACATCCCTAGTAGTGCCTCCAGGATCTCGCCGACTTTAGGCTTGTCACCTCGAGGAACAGAGATCTTCCCACACACATCTCCCCAAATACTGATAGGCCAACGCCTGCGGTCACGGCTTGCTGCAAGTCCTTCTGCAGCTCCTGTCTTTCGTCCGTGACAAATCACGCGATTTGTGGTGCTAGGGGCAAGTACGCAAGTCTACAACAGCCCCTGGCTTGCTTCAAGAGGAAAGTGGCGCTGAGCCGCTGCCTCCCTTTAGAGCCTAGCGCAAATATCTGCACTCGGCACCTCCACCGTCCCTGCACCCTGCTTGAGGGAGAGATCGTTCTCAAGCCGGTTGATCCTGGAGGGCAAAACATGTGAGACCCAGGACAGGGCTACGGGACATGTGCTGCTCGGGGTCTTCGAATTTGCAGGTGTTCCGCAGCATTTTCCGCTTCTGCAGTTGTGTGGTCATACCTCATTCTACTGCTACACCGGTGCGCATAACTTTGGCAAATGGGATCTGGGCCTGTCTGAATAGAAGCTCGCCCGAAAAGAACGGCAACAACAGCATAGCAGCACAGCACTCTACCGCACAGGACAGGAATTGCGACAAGCTTCAAACTCGAGTGGCTCAGCCCTGCAACCAGAACAGATCTGGACGAGCGCGCTGCTGTAACAGTTGACTTTGTAATCGCATCTACTTTGACACTTCCACTGCCTGAGCTCAGCCTTTGCCCCAAAAGCGGAACCTCCTGCAAACTTGGGCTCCTGATGGAGTCTGGAGATGTGCTGACAGAATGTCGCTCTGATTGCAAGTGCTCCAAGAACTACCCCTGCATACCCCTGCATTTGAGAGGTCTACAGTGTGCTCTGGTTCTTGTGCTTTCCCAGGCTCCTATGCTTTTCTCGTCAGGCTGCACAACTTCGTTTGGCCAACGTTCTGGTATGCTAATGCTGCATGCTGCACATGCTCCATGAAATAAATCCGTTTTAGGGGCAGGCATGTGTGCTCTCCACAGGTGGGATTTGTGTTCTGAATTCTCGAACACGCACAGTGTTGGTGTGCGGCAAGCAATCTCAACATTTCCAGCAGTTTGTAGCAGGTACGGGTATGACCTGCAACGACTGCCGGCAGCCATGAGAAACTGAGATGCTCTGGCCAAAGCCATTACATCATGTTGGCCAGAGTTCAAACGAGCAAGCCGAATTCCAACTGCTGCAGGCTCGATTCTTCTGAATTGCATCCTACATTGCTCGCTGAGGCCTCCTGCACCAGCTTGAGTCCAGATATCTTCCGCATCGAAAACTCTTGGCACCGGGTTTTCTGGCTGATGTCTTCGCTGCTTAAACTGAGTAGGAATCTTAGGCATCTGTATGGCTTCGACCCGGTGCCGAGGGGAACTCATAGGCTTCGGACACTGGTATCTTTAAGTTTCAGCCGCTGGAATCTTTCTGCCTGCAATGGAACGGAGTGCAAGCACAGAATGAAGGGTCGAGGGGCCTTAATTACCATAATTCTCATAAGGAGCCCCCAAGATTCTTAGACTTCGGCCAAGTTGCCAGCAGCTTCAAAGGCCGGACTCTCTGATCCGGCACCTGGGAAGCAGCGTTTGCGCCGAGCGCGGTTGCAAAAATCGGCTGACATCGATTTCAGCTCCAGTTTCTGCTTGCTTCCATGGGGCGGCTCTGCAGCTTGTGCTGCATGAAGTGTGCGCTTTGGCTTTGACCCACTTTAAATCGTTGTTGCTCCCGCCATGGTGCCTGCAACAACACGACAATGGCTTACCATGCTTACCCTCGGCCGGAAGCTCCCACCAGCAACCAGCAGCTGAGATCGTGGCACAAGGCACGGCCGGCCAAGCTCAAGTGAAGTTCAAGGGATGCAGCCATTCCGAACCAATCCTACTTTATCTTCTGGAAAATACCTTTCTACAGTACAACGGGAATCAGCTGCACCCCGGAATTTCTGTTTCACAGCGCCGGAGAAGTGGACGCAGAGGCCGAAGAGTGTCCTCAACTTTGCTCTTCCGCTATAGACATCAAGCTGGCTCCGACTGTTAACGAAAGCTATGATGCTCGGCACGTTGACTGCGGCCCCGTACAGCATCAAGTGACCATCCGAGTGCAAGCAGGCAGCTAACCGGTGCCAAGCGAGACCATCTAAGCCTCCATCACGAGCCTGCGGTCGCTAAGCAAACAGCCAGCAAGTACGTTTGCTGTCCCGCTACAGTCACGACAGGATGGGTGTAGAACGGTGTAGAACACAGTAAAGACAGGCGAAGCGCAGCATCAATGATGCTTGGTCGTTCAACGGTCCTGTATTCACCATCGCAAAAGAAAACTGAATTAAAAATCTAGAGTCTTTAAGCAGAACATGCTACGTGTTACGTAACCGAAGTAACCGCCAGAGGATAGCATCATGCTGCATGCTGCTGAGCGGCGAGGATGTTATGGATGCTGTCGCCTCAAATCGGGGACTCTTGGTGCAGCGCCAGGCTCTTTCGGACAAGCCGGCGATTTCACTCGAAGCTAAGCTCGCGGCAACCATCAACTGCTGCTGAAACCGAAGCTGTAGCTGCAGGTCCACCAGCCGCTGTTGCCTTTGATAATATTGCAGTCAGGCCCCTGTGTACAAGCGATTTTGTGGTGCCGATCCTTCTTCAGCCTTCAATCAAAGCCATAGCAGTCAAAAGGCTGTTGCTCGATGATGTATTGCTGTCGCGTCAAGGCATCCGTGATGTTCCTGGAAATTCGGACAGCAATTAGCACCAACTGGCATCAGCCGTCACCATTGCGAGATGGTTCGGCTAGAGCCCGGGCAGGCCTGACATCTTTGGGCGCAGAGCGGAACTTTCCCGCGTCCTGTGACCAGAAGATTGCAGGAGCACACATTGCGACGTAGGCGATGCGACTCAACTTAACGGTTCAAGTCAGTTCTTTTGCCAGAGTGAGTTGTTGCACGTGGTGGGCCAGGCAAACTTCCTAACTGCGGCTTCCATGGCACTTTACAGGTTTTACATGGTAGCATATACAGGGATATTGAGTCTCTTTTTTGTCACTCGTGCTCGACAAGTCAGACGAGGGTTAGGAGGACTACAACACACTTCACTGTTCACATTGGAACAGTAGCAAGACATTAGCGACGGCGCATTCCGACAACCTGAACATAATCATGTCCACATCCGCATCCACTAACAAAACCAGCACATCATTGTCCCTGCCACCAAGCTGTAGCATCTGACAGCTTATGACAGACTTTGAACGACCTTGAAGTCACTCACTCCAACGAAGTGCCAACAGGAAAGTAATCCCATCCCCAACAGTGAGCAATACCTCACCAAAAAGATGTATCTCGGTCTCCACCCCAGTCAGCTCCACCACATCGACAAGCGCAGGAAAAGAGCGAAGGAGGGGCTCAGTGCCAGTGCCCAAAAAGTCCCAAAGCCGTACACCCTGCATATATACCATAAGCCGCCCAGTATGAGGCTAGGGCTCAGTCCAAGGGCTCAACCAGGAAGAGAGCTCATCGGCAGAAAAGAAGCATACTTCTTGTTGCAAGGAACAGCCCCAGAGTCAGAAAACTGATTGTATGCAGCGGGGCAGCGCAACGCGGGCCCACATCTCCCAGATCTCCCAGATCCAAAATCCAGGTCCAAGATCTAAACACCAACTCAGAGGCAGGCGTCACAAGGAAATGAGTGGCCTCCTGCAGCCAACCCCTTGCAAGGGGCCGTCAGTAGTGTATGACCAAGTCTCGAAGGCCACACCAGTGCATGGCAGATTTCAACTCACGGACGATTTCCAGCCGACAGATCACCATAAAGAAAAGACAGGCAAACCGCTTCCAGCGGTTGCCACAACGCCAGAACTTGCCAATACATCAGTTGAAGCGTCGCATGCTCGAGGCGAGAGAGCAAATCACTTGTTCCAGCGTAGGTTCGGCAAGGAGGCCATGGCATTAGGGCAAGCCCAGGTCGTCTACAGTTATGTCCGAGTCCTCTCTCAGCACGGCTCGCATTATTGGGGGATAGACCCCATGCCGGCTTATTGCCCGTTTCGTCTGATGCCGCAATACTGGGGGATACACCCCATGCTCAGCCTTGCCCGGATCCGGGGGATAGACCCCGTGCAAGATTCAGGGGTGGAGGAGGGTGAAGCCCGAGCACCATCCATGCACCATCACCGGGAGGAGCAGCATCATCCACCCATACAGGCACATCAGGAAAGAAAAAGAAGCAAAACAAGCGCACCATCACCAGGGGCAAACTCAGAATCAGTTCATGCATCCATCAACAAGCCGAAAAAGCATCATCCGGACGACATGGCATCATCACGACAAGTAAGTCGGCGACTGTCTTCGTTTTGCTTCCAATTGCACAACAATCGGCTCTGTGGCGGAATCTCAACAGGCGGCAGGTCTGTAACCTGAGAAAGCGTCGAGACATCAACTCGCCCGTTTAGGGCTGCAGACAACGGGATATGTCGAGGAGGAGCCTAGGTCCCAAAAACAGTGCAATATGGTACAAGGGCAAGGGCAGGGAAGTCAGGGCAGTGCAGGCACAAGGCAAGGAAAGGGCGACAGTGCAGAGCAAAAAGAAAGGGCAAGGAGCAGCGCAAAGGCAAAAGCAGTAAAAGGAACAGAAAAGCGCGACAGTGCAAAAAGGCGCGGCAAGGAAGGCATCGTCTCAGGGAGCCCCGTAAGGGATATTGAGTCTCTTACAAACATGCATACATGCATGTACACACAATCAGACACAGATACATGCATCCGCACATGCTTGTGCACACCCACACACATGCAAATGCTATAGATATGACATTACATACATAATACGCACGTTACATACATTACTTAACAAAGCATGACATTCCAAACATTATGTAACATTGCGTAGTGCAACGATGCAAAAACATGCATGCATGTATACATGCATACATACATCCAAGATACATACATACCTGCTACATGTGCACTTACGTACAAATTCACTCACTTACGGTATTATATATACTTGCTTATGCACCACTGGCTACTTACTTGCTTTCTGGTTTAGCACTCGGCACTTGCTGACTTATTACTTAATATATTGATTACTCATGCACTTTTTGTCACTCGCTCTCGACGAATCAGGCGAGGTTACTGCCTGTCAGTGCTCCAAAGTGCATAGCTTACTTACTTGCAAAAAGCGTACATACAGGCATCCATACATACGCGCATGATGCATGCATGCAGGTATGCATACATACATACATACATACATACACATCTACATTTTATCGAGATACATGTCTACGAAGGTCAATCAACAGTTGCATACTAGCCGCTACTGTAGAGGTGTGAATGGACGTGTACTGGCAGTATGATGTATGCCAATGTGTGCGTGTATGTGTACGCGCGCATCTGCATATGTAAGTATATGCGCGTGTGTGTGTGTGTGTCTGAAAGAAGGAATATGTAATATGTGTCCGATAATTCCCAAAACTGAAATATGTGGTCAGTCATCTGGCATTCCTGCACCCCCCACTCCCAACGGTATGAATGGTACGCTCGGATTGGGCGGGGGGGGGGGTGCCAGGATGGTCGACAGGCGTGGAATCCTCGTGTGACACGTGCCGTTTCTCCACCCGGACCTCACGGTGATGTTTCGACAGTTGCAACAGTCGCAGTGGCTCAGAGCCGGAAACATCTTGACAGTTGTTTGTTTTTGGACCGCGGCCTTGCAAGAACGTGTGAAACATGAAACAGTCACATGCTAATCATGAGGATGATGATGACAACGACAACTACATCTCGAATGCGCCAATTGTCAGCGGGATGGATCGCGACCGGGTCGTGATATGGATTGCCGTCTTTTGGTGGATCTTGACATCGACGCAGCAGCAGGGACTCGCCTCCAGCTCGCCTCCCTCCCTCCCTCCCTCCCTGTGTGCGTCTGTGCGTGTGTCTATGACATGCGTGCATGGCAGTCCTTCTTCTTGCGTCGAAGTTCTCCCTCTGGGCACAGGTGGCAGTGAAGGCATTCCCGTCCATTGAGGCATCCTTTCTTCCAGAACCAAGCACAAGGCCTCGTTGACGGCTGCGGACAACTAGGGAATGCTAGCTGGCGCACGCACGCCCACGCACACGCACACACACACACAGGCTGACACACAGCCGAGCCATGCTGAGCACATCTCAAACGACTGTTGGAAAAATAACGTCACATCACTATAGTGCCGTGCCAGAGGACCTGCACTCGCCTGTCCCATGCTGTTGAGAACCGACGGATGGCCAAGACTCCGTGTAACTCACCTGGGCCGCAGGTGTGTGAAACCCGTACATCTCTTGTTTGCGCAAGGCCGCAACACAACGAGCGTCATAACTCAAGGAAGGTGCCTTCACAGGAGACCCGTCCATCGCGTGCAAGTCAGCCTGAGCTAGCCAATGAGAGTGCTGCTGTGCTTACTCACCAGTCACCAGTAAGATCGAACAGGGCGGCCTTTGGCCAGGCCCACGAACACACCAGATTATGTTGAGGATGCGGACTTGCACTGGCGTGGGGGTCTAACCATCGTGTGATAGCATTTGCGGCCTGCGCACAACGGTCCTGCTCTACTTTGCCGACTACTCAGCTGCGACTGTGAAGCTTCCAACTTTGCAGTCGCCGCTTGCATGTCGGGCGTGTTTGTCCAAGGCATCGCTCCCACATCACCTCAAAAGTCCTACCGCGAAGGCGGCATAGTGATAGTGCCACTGCATCAGCGCTGAGGCTCGTGCTCAAAGCTCCCGGCAGGAAGGTGTCCTTGAAGCGCACAAGACATCGCTAATCCATGGAGGCTGAGGCAAGAGACAGCAAGTCAATCTTCGCGCTGTGGAGCCTGCGATATTTGCTGAAGTCTCTCCTGTGCCGACTCCTCATACTCCTGCACAAGGCCGCACGACTATCTGTGGCCGTGAAGAGAGCACTCGAGACGGGTCCTGCTGTCGGAGCCTCATAACCTTCAGCTTGCGACGGGCTTTCAATTCACCTGAGGTCGGCCAGTGCTGCAGGGCTCATCGTTGCGACTATCGTGCCAAGGCTCCTGGTGGACAGTTGTGGCAGAAGGTGCACTCTGAGCCTTTCATGAGCTGAAAGCAAAGGCTGTCTCGTCCAGGCACTTCAATGCCAATGAACTTGCCAAGTGGCCCTTCGAACAGCCCTTGTTGTGCCAGAACCATGCGCATGGTTTGCAGTCCCCTGCAGCGTAGGGCCGTGGACATCCGATGAATCACACAGACCACCCTGGTTTTTAAACGCATGCTCCCAAAAGACGGAACCGAAGCCTACAGATGCCATACATGTCTTCGTCAATCGCACTCACAGGGATCCGAGAACCTATATACTTGAGGCAAATCGAAGCCTCTCCGCATGGAGGCCTTCGCATTGCAGACTGAAACACGATCCTCATAACGGAATAGCCTCCCTCTTGAGGCGGCCAGGGCACCCGTGCCGTGGAGCTCAGAGCCAATAGACCCGAAAATTGTTGTGTTTCGCAGCGTTTGGGGCACGCCCGGATATGGAAAAGCTTCGCTAAAGCAAAGCGGTTGCTCATCATCACCTTGTCCGAAAATACAGTCTCCACTTCAGCGAAGATCTGAGAGGCCCATGCACTCAGGGCTGCACTCGATGCCAATCCGGGAGGCAGAGAGATTCCACATGGTGTTGCAGTCCTCGGCTGCGACCACGCCCCCTCCTTTCTCAGTTCCCTACGCCTGTGCCCATCTCCAGCCGTCAATTGCGACGGTCATCTTCTCCTTACCGCAAAGAAAATTGGAACTCCTGAAATTCAATCAGCCAATGGACTCCGGGTGCTTGAACTCGGTGTCCTCATGCTGCCTGCGATGTTGGTCACACCACAACAAAAGAAAATCTAATATAATCCGAGCTACATAAACCATCCTAACTCCCAAGACTCCAACCGATCACTGCCCGCAGTGCTGGCACATGACTAATTTTTCCATCGTCCTACACTCTGCAAGTTTTCTGGTAACGAACCTTAGTCTGTGCAGATGGTACGGTACCCTCGTGCATGCAAACTTTAGAACCCGTCTTTGCCTTGCAACGTGCATCTTGTTCTTGCTTCTGGTGTCACTGCAGCCGCCTGATCTTGCTCAATCCACGGAGGTTACGCGAGGTGATCTCTGTCGCAACGTCGCAACGACACGAGAAAAGCCAGCACTGGGCGATTTAAGCATATAGCTGCTTAAGTCTAGTCGATGCCTGTGCGGATTCATGGATGAGCTGACTTGAAGTGCCATCACGAAGATCTGAGCCGCGCCTTGAGGCGATGTTTCACTGGAGTGCTGGACATAGGCTTGTGGTCCGAGTTGAGGCGACAGTGTGGAGGCTTCGTCTCCAGAGCTCTGAAAGCCATCCAGGAAGCTGGCACCTTCGCAGATCCGTGGCTCTGGCTCAGTCTGGCTCTGACAGTCTCCGAAGGCCAAAGCAGGCAAGCGGCCCCCATCTGTCGTGCACATAGACTGTCCGGTCAACACCTGCGTCAGCTGGCCAGCGTTGTCTAGGACTAGCGTCATGGTGCATAAAGACCGTCAGCGAAGAAGAACATGTGCATGCAAAGTTCAAAGGACTTCATACAGCCCATCCTTGCGGATCTCTGCCATTGCGGTTTCGGTTTCGATTTCGGATGCGAGCGTCTACAGGCAACAAACCTGCAGTAGACCATAAAATGCCTGCAGTCAGGTTCTGTAGATCCGCGCATGGAATCCCAACAAGCAAGGTGGCGAATATGAACGAATCTCGTTTACTGGGTGCTGGTGCACTTTACCCGGACAGCACAGGTCTTTCCAAAACATGTCTACCTTCCAGTCCGCTCCAGCGCTCTCGATACCTTCCGAGAGACTGTTCCCATCCTGGCATTGTCGCTCTTGAGGTCCTCATCGTCAGGCTTCTCCTCCTGGAAAAAATCGCTGGAGCACCACGGCAGCTTCTACCAAAAGAAGGCAGCCTGGCCAAAGCTTACAGTCCATCCTGCAGTCGGGAGAGTACCTTCCTGGCTTCTGACACATCCTCATCCTGGATGCATACCTGAGTTGTGCTCAGTCGCTTTGGCACATGCCCTGCGTGGAACGCAAGCACAGCTCCAGTTCCGCATTTCAAGAGACTTGCAGGCCTGCAGGTTCATCTTCATGCACTCGTATTTGACAGAGTCGTTGTTGAGAGCCTGCGACCACAGCATGTGATATCTGATACAGCTCAGAGATGTTGTTTGACTTTGCCAAGTCAGAGAGCAGGATTCCAGGATCTAGTCTGCATGGATGCAAGGCTTTGCGGGGCCTCGCTGACTGTCAGCACCTCTGCTAGAAGCTGGCGCGCTTCTTTCAACGCCGCCTCTCAAAAAGTCTTGGCTGCAGTGATGGCATGAATCTGTAGTACACTGCTGTACTCTTGCAGCCTTTGCTGGTTGAAACGATGCCTTCTCGGCGTCGCTCGCGGGCTCTGGATTCTCGCCGAATCGCATATGAGCCAGCGACATGGCCTTTGCCAGCCGCATCCTGGCAATTGGCAGAGGCACAGCTGCACAAGTTCGATACGTCAGCCTGACAAACTCACAGGTGTGACTGGAAGTGCAGCACAGGCTCAGAAGCAAGACGCACCGACGTGTCCCTCGTTCCCAGTTTTTAACGGCAAGCTGGCCTAAGTGTTGCCTGCTCCAGCTGCAGCTTGCGATCGTCCTTCTTGTCCTTGCAGGATTGGAAGAAATCGACGGGACCCGCATTCTCTTGTTCTCAGACGCTGGCCATCTCTATCCACTTCAAGCCACGCCTGTAGCGGCCTTGTAGCTGTGTTCCGACAGGTGCCCGAAAGCGACCACATCCGTGATAGTTTTGCCACCGAGGCGGAGGCGTTCGGCGTTGTAGGCATACTTGTGGACCTGCATTTGGCTAATGTCAGGCCAAACACACACACACACACACACACACACACGAATGTGCGAATGTTTTCTTCATCCCGCCTGCTCTGCCACATGCGCTTCTGCTCCTTTGGAGTCCTGCGAAGTACCAAAGTCACGAAAGAGTTCCATTGACAGCTTCTCCTGGACAAAGTGCAAGCAGCTGTGTTTTCCGCTTGCTTTGGCATTCAACCCTCTTCTAGGCCTTATGCGACCCTGGTGCGCGCGCTGCGATTGCTTAGCAACTCGCTTGCACGCACGTCTGACGGGCTGAGCCGTGCCAGACTTCGAGTTCTGAGTCTTGCTCGAATTAAACGTCTAAGTTTGTGTCGGGTCCCACACCTTTTGGTGCCGTTCTGGCCTGACACAACTTGTGCTAGTAGGAAATGGCCATAGTCATCTCTAGCTGCCCAGTACGCGAGCGTCGGTCGCTGTGTTCGAACTTCCCAGCTTGAATCACTGCAGCACTGGAGTTTCAACTCTGACCATGAAACCTCCAAGGACCTCTGGGCAGGCCGAATTACAACTAAGAAGAGCTATACCTGGGACAAGGCAGCCTCTGGCAGCCTCACTCTTCTTTCCGAACGGGCGCTTGAAGGCTGTTCCGGCATCTCATTGCTGCCTCCGGCCGCGGCTCTGTTTTCCGAGGCAGGAGAAAGGTAGATTTCGTTGCCATCTTTATCACCTTGACCTCGATTGTGTGGCAATGCGTGGCAAGTCTCAATGAACTGCGGTCTGCATCGGTCGTGGTATGGGGGCATGCTGCCTCCTCTCCACAGCTCCCTCAGCACAACCGGTGGCACAACCAAATCCAGATCTTTGCCGAGGATCTCCCTTCTGACTGGAGAGGGGTCCAGGGCACAAATTCGTCGAGGGCCTCTCCAGCCTGCTCAGCATCCTGCCGCCATTTGCAGAGGAGATGCACAGTACGAATTAGGTCACGGCGGGGCTGGGATCAAAGCCCTTTCTGTTTTTGGTCGCGAATCCTCGTCCATTTCAAGTTCATCAACCTCGGGCGGCAATGAAGCGTCGTCAACGAGAGCCCCAGAGCCGAGACTCTCCTCAGTCTGACTGCAGTCTGGGCACACCTTCGCCTGCTTCGCCTGCTTGGCCTCCTTGGCCTGTCGGCCCTCGCCCGTTGAGTGACCGGCGCCCGTTGTTCCCGCTCGATCCCTTTCGAGGAGCGCCCGGACGAGGCTGGGGCTGCTCGTTCTCGGCTTTCTCTGCAGCCTCTGGAAGTCAGAGAGAGGCTGCCACAGAAACCAAAGCAGCGCATACATCATACATCAGCCAAAAACGTCTTGGCCTCGATGTCCGCCTGGATGATTTCATCCAACATCGAAGGCTTCGCCTCGGCCTCGGAAAGCGCGTTCTCCTGGCGGCGCCAGGACTGCGCTTCGCGGCTGCGCTTTGCAAGCACCGCCCCTTTTTTTGCCCCGCTGAGAGCCCCAAGCCAAGCAGACCCTCCGAGTCCTGGCCGGGATCCTTTGGCTTATTTCCTGCAGGCGTGAGGCGCGAGGGAGCAGATGTGCTCTACGCCGGATGCACCGCGCCTTCAGCTGCAGCTTGATCAGCCAAGTTGCTTGTTTCCTCACTTGCAAGTTGGCGCAAAAAAACACTCCAAGCATTAGCCCCCCTTCGAACAGTTCTTACTTTTGCACTCCAAGGGAGAGCAGTACGTGTCACAAGCAGCGACTAACGTTGGGCAAGTCACTTGAGCTCCGTTGCGTTTTTTCTTCTTCTTTTTCTTGCCTATCTCCTCCTCTGCGTCACCTTCCCAGCCGAAGGGTGAAGGAGTAAGCAGTGGGTGCTTCTCTGATTGGCATAATTACACTTGCACCTTGAAAGGTCAACAGCTGCCCAAGGAACTTCCGGTCCAACTCCTCCAAGTCCTGATGCCGTGCTTCTGAAACAGACAACCCTGAAAATCGCCCTAGGTGGCCGTTCATGGTGATCACACGTTGGCAAATCAGTCCTCGTTAGTCAGTTCATTGGCATGAGTAGCACGCAGACAGTTGTGAATCTGATGCAGGGCGCACAATTCAGGGTTGAGACTCACACACACAGAGCAGAGCTGCTTGTATCATGGTCTTCCCAAAACTATATGCTCAGGGCCTCGTCTGAAACAAGGGCCATGCCCAGCTGGTTCGCCATGATGTAGACAGCCATGATGCAACAGCTTTGAACAAGCGGCTTCAGAACATTGCCAATGATGAGAATGATGAACACCACCTCATCATTGCCGCAGTATGTTGGCATTTCAAAACCCAAGCTGCTTCCCTGACCGCTCGGTGAAGCTACCCTGACGAGCCATCGTGCAACTAGACCAACCGCATTTCGGAAGCACAGGACAGGCCACGAACATCCAGTGGTCACCATCTTCCGCACTGGATGTCGCCAGAAACTGGATGATGAAGAACCTTTGCATCGTGAGTGTGTGGGTCTTGCTTGGACACGTGTCACTTTCGCTGCTGTGAAGATGTCGTCACGGCGATTGCTGTCTATTGCTGGCGGCCCCACACTGACCATTGCTTGCTACCCACCGAACCAACCCCTGACTTCTTCAATCTGGACAAGCACTGCAGACAAGTGACACGCTCAAAAGGAACCAAAGGTTCATGAAGAACCAGAAGACTCCTCGGCGCTGAAAGGAGGGCTTGGAACTGTAGGAGGGATTCACAAGCGTGGACTGGTCGCTTAAACAGGGATAGGCCAGTCCGGCCTACGCTGCATCTTGCAGGGATGAGCCAAGCGGCGCCTTTTGAACCAGGAGCAGCAGGCCAAAGCTGCCTTGTTCCAGCCAGCGTGAAGAAACCGCTCTCGGCGAATCCCCAGAATGGCCTCGTGCTCGGGGTTCGGTCGCAAGGGTTCGACCACACAGGCAGCGAGGACTGTTTGCAGCAAGCTGCATAGTAAGGCAACTCCTGGATGATCACGCATACCAAGGCGAGGCAGGTTTCTCGCAAATACCTTGGCACAGTCACAAAAGCTTTCCAGGACCGCGCTTATCCGTCACAAGTGCTGGCATGTAGAAAATGCGGCAACCCACCTCTGCAAAGGGTCAGCCGGATGGCACCTGAGACTCTGCGACGCATGCTCTGCTGCTCTCCTTCAGCGGCAATGCTTCGACAGATGTGAAGCCGAGAGCGGCACTTTCCAGATCGACCTGGGCACCAGAATCGCTCGGGGCTCCATGAAATCGGCAGCAAGAAGCTTTCATCCTGAGGCCGCTGCCGACCTTCCATCCCATGTAAGAGGAGATCAGGCAAGCAGTTGCAGCTGCCGCCAGGCCCTGCACCAAAGTGGCCGCTACCCGGGCCTTGGAATTGGAACTCTCGGCCCTTGGTGCTGGACCAGTGCAGGGTCTCTCAAACAGGAATTCTTTCAGCAAAGCCGCTGTCCGGGGAAGCGCGTAGTTCGGCATGAACCCCACCACCAGCCGGATCGACATCACAATTGCAATCCGAGCCTGCTGCCATTGTGGCAGGAGTAGGAACTCCTGCACTGCCTGGAATCGAAGATCAGAGGTGTGATGAGCAACTGTCATGCATCATAGACACTGCCTTCTGCCTGCTTAAGGCTGCCACAGCCTGGCCCTCTGACTGCAACTCCTCCGATCGAATGTACCGGAAGGCTGCCTGGGCTTTCATGGGCAGCGCAAAGGCCCTGGTTACCTCCTGGACACCTTGGTTTCTGTGCCGCCGAGGATCAGGTTCTAACCCTGCGAAATAAAACTTCAGGCTGAAACGGGCGCAAAAGCGGGCGAGAACCCCAGCGATCCTCAGTGCTGGGATGTGAGCTGCGCAGGGTGGTTCTGTACCAGCGGACAAGCTGTGACTACGTACTTCTGGCCAAGGCACGCTTTCTTCCTCACGAATGATGAATCTGAATTGGCTTTGCTACGCAAAAGACGCAGTGCCTCGGGCCTAGACTGAGCGAGACTGCAGGTGCTGGTGCGCAGAAGTTAGCCCTGTCCTGGCTTCGTCTGCATCGGGCTTCAACAGCAGCCGCAGTTGGGCTTTCCTTTTGTTGATCTTCTCCTCTTCCTGCTTGTCGGTGATTTGCTCCAGCACCTCGGAAACCAGATCTGCCTTGGTGCCGTAGCGCTCCATCAAGCCTCGGCGACGCGACGGGATGATGGCCATGTGTACAATAGTAATCAAGAGGATGATGATGGTGATGATGATGATCTTATCATCATCAGCATTCTGAAACCAGGTGGAGAAGAACTGCGATAGTCATCACGAATCTTTGCCGCCTACCTGGCCACTAACAGATGATACTAGTACAGGTGGTGCTGGAAGAAAGTAGTCAGTGCTTGCGGCTTGACGCCGAACGGCGAGCAATCTTCATGCAAGTTGCTCCTTTTCAGGGCCCCTCCCTCGCCATGGTGCACCTTATGTCGATGACAGGGCAACCTACTGGCAAACCTCCTACTTTCCCATGTCCATGGTGGAGATGAACTCCGAGAGAAACCAGAGCGGGCAGGAGTCCGAGTTAGCTTCTTTCCGTGCATCGCGTATCTGCTCCAACACCTGGGACGACAAAGAATAAGAATGAAGTCCTACTTGCACTGCTCATGCATGCTTCGCAGATCTGTGATGCTGGAAGCTGAAAGTTTCGGCCAAGGTGCCGGAGATCTACGGCAGTCAAGCACCCAGGCCAAGAGAATCATGACCTGAGCAAACCGTATGCATGTACACATGCATCTGTTTGTTTGAATGCCTGTTGGAATGAACTGGATGGCCTGACGACCCAAGGAATGGTAGAAGGAGCAGCGTAAGCAGCAGTACCAATAGCAGTAGTGGTGTCGTCATCCTTTCTCGTGCAAATCTGCCAAGCAGGCTTCTCCAATGACCTTCAGCCTTTCATGAGGCCGCCCACCGCGGTGATGCCAACGTACACAGCCAAGAAAATAACTCCACCTTCAGTCACGGTCCACATCAGAAAATCTCGCAGTCCGCAGTCCTTATCTTAAGGATGTACTTCCCTCGCGCTCTCGGAGTGTAATTAAACGTCATAACAACGATGACAACGGGGTGGGGATCGGTTGTGCGAGGAAACATGCACGCATGATCAAGCACGTGCATGCCGCAACTGCAGCATCCTTTTTTATTCCCGTTTCTGAATCTCCGAATACCTGCCTTCTTGTGTCCACGAAGGTTCCTTAGGACACACCGAGACGCAAATGGGATTCTGCGGTTGTTCATGAAGATCTCACTGTTGTTGCTGCGGTTTTGGGTAGCTGCAGGCAAGCTTCGGTCCAAATTGGGTGGATGTTGTCGGGATCCAGGAAGTTCAGAGTGTTTTCGCAGAAGTGGACTTCCAGCAGAAGCTGCCGAGGACCCGCATCCTGACAGATCGGAGCCAGGAAGGCAATGCGAGGGCCTTTTTTCATTGCGCCTTTCCTGCGAACCGACACGACATGGCTGCTCTGTGTTGCCTTGTTGCTCGCACCAGGGGCATCGGTGCTAGAAACATCCAACCTAAGTAGCGATGCATGGCAGCCACCTCAAGCCAAGCCCGAACCCCCGATGCAGCTGTCTCTCCGAAGACCTGAGAATGAGGCTCGGAAGGACGACCCGCACCGCGCAGTGCAAAGGAAACCTCCAAAAGCCAACACCCCATAAGTGCCAACAACGTCCGCGAAATGCGGTTGTTTTCGGAACATGTTGGCTTTGACTGCGAGTACGAACAGCAGCGTGTATCTATCAGAGATATTCCCCGATCTCTCTGCATCCGTCAACGTGCAGTACCAATTGTAGCAAACAGGAGGCAGGCTCAAGATGCTCAAGCAGAAAGACTCCTGTGCAAGACTGCACCGTAGCCTCTTCAGCGCCTGCCGCCGCAGATGATGCAGCAGCACCTCTGGGAATTACATCACATGATGTTCACAGATTTGTCTGCTGCTCATTAGTCCCCGCTGCCGCAAGAATTGGAACAGGTCGGCTGCCTGCCAAGAGGAAGTACAGAAGCCGGATCGGGTAGGCAGCCATCAGCGATGTCACGGGCGCATGTTTATGGTGCTACGGCCTGAACAACTAACATCGTTAAACAAATACCTTTGCGAACTGTACGACGCGGAGCTTTCATGCAGGTTGGCTATGGTTGCTACCGTGCCGGATGGCGGTGAGCCCGCGCCAGCACGCTTGAGCCCGATCTCGGAAGACTCAGTGGCGTTGACGGGCTTGGCCAAAACTGCTTCTGCAAGCATACGAGGTCGCATTGTACAATGACTTCATCCTCGGTGGACTTTCGCAAAGTCCCGAAAGTTTCGAGTTGCTTCCTCAGCAAACTCAGCTCAAACTACTCAGCGTGACGTCTGTCTCCTCTGTCTGAGGCCAAGGCCTTCGGCCATCGGCTTCGTCCAGCCAGGAGTCGCCGGTCTCACGCTCTTGGATGAGGCTCTGCCAACCCTTCCAGCCTGCACACAAGAAGCAAGCCCCTTCAGCTACACTGTCGACTCGGTCACACCTAAGCAATTAAAGTGCAAAGCCCATTGAAATTCGAAGGCGTAGTGGAAGCAACGCCAGATTGCCGCAAGATGCTGCTGGACTATGTCTGTGTCTACTTGGGGACAGCTTTCTCGGGCAGCTGCGTGCGACGGATACGCGGGTGTGTCGCACGAAAGGCGCAGGACGCATGTTTGCCATTTTCATGCCCGCTGCGACAGGGATGCAGGGATGGGTCCCGCGCATGGAAAACTTCGGAACCCCTGGGCCACCTTCTCGCGTTCACAGTTCGTGTCCTAAGACCCAAGCACTTTGGCTCGGTTGGACCTTTTGTGGACCACCACATCGATGTCCTTGATGCTGAGGAAGAACATCTTGCAGACAGTGCTGTTACTTCAGCTTCCAGGCGGTCAGCTCCGAAACAAACAGCTCGTGTATTCGCTCATTCTGGGCCTCAGTGCATATGATGAGAGACCTAGACGTGCCAAGCAAGTCCCAATATCTGACGGGGCACCAGCACGAAGGCAACTTCCTCTCTGTGCAACTCCCTGAACCCGAGCCTCCAGAGACTCGCACTGCGCACCGCTGCCCTGGTTCACAGATGCAGCAATCATTGTATACTTCCAGTGTGAGGCAACGACTGCTGCATGAAGGAAGTGAGAGCTTTGGAGCTTTCCTCACCACATTGTCCCATCCACTCCTGTCAGAAATGGCATGCACACATAAGTCGATAGCTGCATACGCAACAAAGGCAGGTGTATATATACATATATATATATATATAATAATATATATATATATATATATATCGAGAGAGAGAGAGAGAGATACACGGATAGATAGGTAGATAAGGGTAGACAGGCAGATAGATTGATAGATAACACCTGGTTGACATTCTGTGTACTTGTAAATCCGCCGAGGCCAAAGGCCTCTGGCGTCTTGATGGTTAATACTAACCAACCCTCTACCTAATCCTTCTCCCTGCAGCCCAAACGCAAACTTCCACCCGTTTTTAGCGACTGTTTTCGACCCCCTTGCCCGGCTTCCGTCCGTTTTTGCTACCGAATTTGCCTCCCCTCCTCCTGCCCCCGCCCTCCCCGTCCCCTCCCTGCCCCCCCCCCCTTCCCCCTTCCCGCCCCATCGCCCTGCCCCCCCCTGCCCTGCCCCCCCCTCCCCCCTGTGCCGATACACCCCCAAGGGATACTCCTTGGGAGGAGGTGTATGACCAGTTTATTCCCTAAGGATCAAAGGGCAGCGCCCTGCACACGGACAGTAGTTGTTTTGTCTTGCTACGCAAGGAGAGCTTGTCTTGTCTCAATATGGTAAAACCACTGTGAGCCAATGGGCAGCGGAATGTATATGTATGAGCATGCAGCCATTGCTGTAGGTACCTGTTAGAGCTACCCCTTTAGAGGTTTATGGTTTCAAACAGACACTAATTTTCTTTTACCGGAAGCATGGCCGCACATTCACACATATACTGTTATGCCCACTGTCACAGTTGCGGAGTTTTGGACTCATTATAAAAACAGCATATTATGTATGCTAGGTATAGCACTGAAGTACACTGCTGAGGAAACTCCACTCCTTTTGCGCACACACTCATGCATATTTGTCAGAGAGATCATCTGTACAAGATCAGGTCTGGTGATGTTCTACTACCGAATTATGCAGCCACTCATTGTGCTCTTGTTAGAGCCTTGTGATTCACTGTTGTGAAACTCTGAGAATTTTCTTATCTCAGATTCGGATCCAGGTTTGGATCATAGGCTCGAGCGTAAACGTTCGGATGTGGCTCATCCGGGTCTGAGTGGTCTTCTTCGGAACTTGAAAAGATTCCGAGTAATCTATTCTCAGCCCTGGTGAAGGCGGCATCTGCAGTATCATATCCATGGTTGGACGTTGTCGCCTTTGGCTCGGCCTTTGGAGCAGCTTGTGAGCTGACTGGAGTTGCCTTGGCTTTTGCCGGTTGCGGCTGCTTAGCCCTTGCCCGTTCAGCCCTTCTTCTTTCAAGCTGTCCGTCTGAGGACGCCCATGATCTTTCGCTTTCATCTCCTGAAGGAGATAAGGCGTGGGCATAAAGGCTATTCCAGTACTGTGGTGCAGAAGGAGTTAGGACTTCTTCATTGTCAGATTCTGATTGGTCTTCCTCAGAGCTTTGGTCATCAAAGAGTGTCTCGAGGACATTTTTGAGATTGTTATTTCTTCGCTCTATCTCTAGTGAGGAATTGACCAATTGATTAAAGACTGTCCTTGAGTCCTTCAGTGCTGTGAGAAGGATTTCCACTCTGGATAGAGTATCTTGGATGGTGTCAAGATGTTCCTTTCTTTCCTCCTTGTCTCTCTGGATAGAGCCTCGCAATGCTTGTGCGATTCTGAGGAGGTCTGTGTATTTCGCAAGAGGCATAGTTACCGTTTGATTGTCATGTATGACAGTTGTTTCGTCGCCGCTTAAGTTCCTGAATAGGACTTCCACGATCGGTAGGAACTCCGTGCTCCACGGTTCCTCTTCATCATATGTTTCTACGTGCTGTAGCACGCGTTGTGTAAACTGGCCGGCTGCTTCTACCGTTGCATCGATAGAGCTGACGTGTCTTGATACTATGTTTCGGCACGTAACGTTGATTGCCTGGCCTTGATTGGCTTGGTCAAGTGCAGCGTCTGCATAGGTGCAGAGTCCACTGTTGTGGGCTTCTCTAGCTGCCTTTCGTTGAATACGCCGATTCTGACCTCCTCTTCTGGTAGGACCTTTTGGTCTTGGAGGATCAGAAGGTACTGTTCCTTTCGCCTTTGGCGGAGGACTCTTAGGTGGAGGTGACATGTTAGCCTTGTTAGGCCCTGGTGGCATTGCCTTGGGCGCTGATGACGATGCGGCACTTGGGAGTGCAGATGTACCTCTGGCCTTTGCCGAGGATCCCTTGGGGATCGATGTATAGGTAATCTGCATGGCTTCCTCGGCCATTTGTGCATGCAAGGCATCCTGGAATAATTGTGTCATGTGAGGAGTGTTACTTGCATCATCGTAAGTCTGGAAGCGCTCAATATCTCTTTCGGTGCCACGTGGTCGTGTATCACCTCTTTGGAAAGGATCATTCCTGCGAATCTCCGCAACTTGTACTGCATGGAGGCAGTTTTTGCACAGCACCTTCTTGCAGACATCTCTTGCTTGCTTAAGCTGGTAACAGCTGTCTGAGAGGTGGTAGACTTCGCTTCGGGAAGTATGCCAGATAGGTCGCAGATCAGTTGTTTCTCCGGAATTAACCCTGTTGGGTCCTAAAGGTTCACGCGTCTGCGGTTCATCCTCGGGTTCGAGGAATGGAACTCTTTGGTTCGCTGCTGCTCTTGATTTTGGTTGTTGGCGCTCCATACATCTGATAGGAGGCCTGGTAATCTGCTTCCACATCCAGTGTAAGCCCATTAGCAGCAGGAACACATTCCACGTGATGCTGAAGACGGAGAAGTCTTGTTCACTGGTTAGTGAGTCAGGAAGTGAAGTTTCATCAGTCTTGGTAGACTCTGCGTTTGCTCCACCTCGGTTGCGGTGTCCGAACCAGCCCGACAACCCCGCTGCTGTAGCAGCTGTTCTGAGTGCCTTGCCGCTCGGAGCAGAAGGTGGACGCGATGCCTTCCTTCTTCTTCTCCGGCTGGAGGATTCGTCCTCTTGTTCCTCTTCATCTCTCTGAGCAGACATCAAGTTTGATGTTTCTCTTTCGTGTTCTTCGATGTCACTTTTTGTTGGTGACGGTTCTTCTTCTAGTCCATCCAGCTCTTCCAAAGACATGTTGAGCTTGTCAACAATATTGGTTCTTTGAGGCCTGGACCTTGATCTTGGTAGATCTTGTTGTGAAGAGGACGATGATTCCTGGTTCCTTCTTGGAGGAGGACCTTCAGGCTCGCTGGGACGTTCAGGCTGTGGCCACTCCCAGAATCTTCCATATCTGTGATGGCTACCTGATGGTTGCGATTTGTCGTACCAGCTGTTGCCGGATGAGTAAACGAATGAATCGTTGTAACCCCAGTATTCAGCATTACGCTGCTTGTAAGCCTTTCGCTTGTCAGCGATCTTCTGGACCTGGGCATCTGACCGGTTGTGTTTCCCTTTTGTAAGGATTGGTTGTATCGTGAAGCCCAATGGGCTGTGCCAATCTTTGTCAGTGGGACCCAACCATAGGTCAAGGTTAGAAAAAGTTGAATAGTACTGCTTGACTGAAACAAACAGACGGATATCAATATCCCTGTTGTTGTTCGTGTCCTGCCACATATCTGAGATTCGTTCCCAGTATGTTCTTTCAGCGGCAGGTGTGACCTCTCTTGGACTAGGTGACGCCGTGTGCGGCGTTTTACTCCAGTCAAGGATATAACTGTTGATACAGTCAAGGTCAGCAACTTTCTTCGCCGGGTCCGCCGGTAGACGATCTGCACGTGCCAGTCTGTGCTGGTCGGAGTTGTTCAAGCAAAGATGTCGCACTTGTGAGTGCCTTCCTGCTATTTTGTTGAATGCTGCAAGTTTCTTCTCCAGGTATAGAGAAAACAAACTGTTTCGC